AACCGCGAGACGACGGAACCCTACAGTAATCATATATCGAATTAAGACGAAGAATTCAACTTAAAAACTTAAAGAACCAATAGGGAAAAAAACAAATGAAAAAACTTATACAATTAAGAAAAAGTTTTTAGAGAAATATCAAACCAACATAATAAGAACACTGATGTATGTTTTCCAGTGATTAAAGAAACATTTAAAGAAACATTAAACAACAGATATTAACTGTAATAAAAACCAATAGAAAAATCAATAAAACCAAATAACATTCCAAATTTTAGAAAACAGAAGCAAATGTGTAAACTGCTAACATAAACCATTTATTGAAAACACAAATCTAAAAAGAAAAAACATTGTTGGATGTCAACTACTTCATATTCTTGTTCTTCTGCTTAACATCAGAACCCTTGAGCTTGTCCAAATTGACTTTGTCTTCATCAGTGTTCTCTTCATGCTGCTTCAGAGCAACACACTCGAGCTTGACTCCATCGACTTTATCTTCATTAGTCTTCACACCCTTCTCTTGCTTTATCTTCACAACGTTGATTGACTCAAGACAAAGTTTCTTAGTTGTAGAGGAATTATCAGCTGGTGACAGAGAACTGTCACTACTCCTCTTAGAAGATGGAGTAGTAGTCTCTGAAGGCTCTCCAGAGTAGGTAAGCAGCAGGCTCCCCTGAGTCTAAAACATAATAAGATTAGGATTATTGATATATCGAATTCTTCTCAAATCATAGGGGGTAGGACCTCAGACAAAATTTATAATATTCCATACCTGATCAATTGAATCATCTGGTAGATCTTCCTCTCCAACACAATCATTAGCAAGAACTCTGGATACCTTATAAGTATCCAGTCCATTCCACACATTTTCATTCTCCACATAGACCAGATACTGGTATGTCTTACCAGTCAAATGTCTGATCGCATCAGGTAGGTTCTCTGGGTCCTCAAACTCATCGAACGATCCATCAAGGAGACTGTTTGCTGGACAGCCAACAATCTCAGAAGCCATACTATCAAAAAGCATCAGCTTCATCTCACCAGTTGAATCCATTACTTTAACATGTAGCTTGTACCTGTTGAGTTCATCGTTACAATTAGACATTTCAGTAACAAATAAATCATTAATATATCAGTAGATTATGAACCATACCTTGCAACCACATTGCACACAGGTGATCGGCAAGAGTCACACCAGAATTGTGGCTTGAGAGAAGTTGTGACAACCTTAGACACTTTCTTATTGCATTTCCTACAGGCAATATAATACCACGACCAATCTCTGTCAATATCATATATTGTACAGAGCACCTTAACCCTCCCAGTCTGAAAATAGGAACATTTAAAAGTTGGTTAGAATAAACTATGCAATCAAATTAGAATGTAATAGAAAAAAAGAACTATTACATCAAACATCTCAGCGACTTCTTTGATGGTCTTCTTAGGAAACTGAAGATAGAAATCCCCTGTAGTCAGCTCGATCATTTCCTGCTTTGGTTTAGACTCAAGAAGAGTAAGAGCAAGCCCATCTTTTGGTAAACTTTCTTTGAAGGCAACAATCTCAGGGATGTCTGGATTGATCAAGATCTGAGATGTATTGAAAGCATTGGAGATACTCCTTACATCTAGAAAGCAAAACATAAAGAAAGTGTCAGCAGCTCAATTTTTAAAAGATTTAAAAAAACTATAAGTATGATATTAATACCAAAACAAAATACCTTTGTAAGTCTTGATCTTAGCATATCTCACCAAACATATGACCATCTCACCAGCAGAAGCTTCACAGGCAGAGAAAACTTGTTCTGCAAATGAACCCCATAGAGTACAGGGTAGCCTTTCATCCCTAAATATTGTAATAGCAATATTAGATTCAAAAATAAGACATATTTAATTTTAATGCCGACAGAACTAATGAATGAAACTTACGTATGATCCCTCAGTTCAAAATCAATCTTTTTAGTAGGTTTATTTTGCACGTCGATAGTCTCCATTTCACCAACATTCACGATTTGACCGACAACATCTTGAACCAAAAGAGAATATCAAAACGTCAATATATATTGCATAAAGGATTAGATAAAAATGAAAATATAGCTAATATGAAAATGTACCAATCAAGTAGTTCTGGTTGAGACCAGCAGTTAAAACATCATTGAAAGGAGTCAATGACAGGTAATAAGAATCAGGCAATGGATCCATCCTCACAACTCTTGTTTGCGCCATGAAGCCCATTTTGTAACGATGATCAGTTGCTTTGAACTGACCAGTTGAATAAGTCAATCCAAAGTTTTCAATAGCCTTCCACTCTCCTGGAACCATGAGCTTCTCAAAACGGTTGAGATGCTCTCTCTTCACAGACGCATGGATCTTCTTGCCCTACCATAGAAATAGAAATATATTAGTATATCATTAGACAACTTATTTTAATATATTGAACTAATATAGACATGTCAAAGAATTCTTACTTTGACATCAGACAGAACCATGTCGAAAGTCTCACCAAACTTTGTGGTAAATGTCTTCCAGGTATGAAGGACACGGACCTGAACTCTCCAAGTGGTTTTGTATGGTTTGATGTCATCGAGGTAAGCAATTGCTTGAGCCATTTGTGATATCTAAATAAGAAGGATGCTAAGGTTAGAGGAATTTGAGTGATGGATTGGAAATGAGAATGACGTTGATATTTATAGCATTCTAGGATGCTAGGGTTTTTGGCTCCAATAATTTTAAAATCTAGGAGAATATCTTGGAGACAAAGCATAAAATCAAAGATACTATTAACAAAATATATTCGAATTTGGAATAGAATTGAATGATTGGCTATATTTAGATAAATGATGAATATTGTAGAGTTGGTTATGGTTAGGATTATATTTATGAGAGATAGTAATTACGATTTTTTTGGGATTAGGCAATATATGATCGAATTTGTAGTTATTATGAGAGATAATTACATTGAATTTGCAGTTATTATGATCGAATATGCTCATATTTAGATACCAAAAATGAACTAAATTTACAAAATAATTTGAACGGCTTAGATTGACTTATGTGGATGCTAAACCCGATTAAGAACTTGACTATGTGATTAAGAGTTAATTACTCCTAACCCACCCGAGTATTAACACGCGGATCTCTTAAAGTTTAATGAAACTTTATGACCAAAATGCCCTTGTCGATTTTGATTAACAAAGAACAAAATCCAAAATTGAAATTGAAATTGAGGCTAAATTTGACCATTTTTCAATTTGTACTTCCCTTTTAATAATAAGGGGATATTTATACTAATTCTTTCAATTTTTTCGTGGAGATGTAACTATTTAACTACAAATGTTTTATTGTAATAATAACGGAATTATGATGGTCGAATGATTGGTAATACTAAAATGTAAAAATGACAAGATACACTCATACATGATACACCACATCTCTATCGGTAGATTTTCATAATCAATCATAAAATGTAGACGCCAAAAACATTATCATAAAAGAGGCGATTTCAAAGTTTAAATACGTGTGAAAATGGGATTGATTTGCTTGTCTCTCATCGAGGGATTAATGAATAATGATAAAATGACACTACTGTTTTCATTTACGTGTCGGAATAGCCGACCGTTGCTTGAATCTTTTTTTTTTTTTTTTTTGAAAACGAATTGCTTGAATCTTTTATAAACAAAATATACTCCATAATGGTATAAAATAGTCTTACTATGGACTATGGTTTCCACGTGGTTCGCATGTAACACGTGTGTTAGGACTTACGAGATTATTGACTGTTGGGAAACAAATGGCAGTGAGTGTATTTGTATAATCGCGTACGGTGATATTCTGATATCACTAAAATTTTAAGAGAGAAAGGCCAAACACTGCAAAGTTGATAGGCCGAAGAATTCAGTTTGGGCCTAACAAATAGGTATTAGACTAAACTGTGAATATTTCAAGTGCCATAATTAACAATTTACGATAATCAAATTTTATGGCTCAGTATATTTAGCTTAATTAGCTAGAGGAATAAGCCAAAACTTGAAAAGAAAAATATGAGAAATAGATAACCCAAAGGTTCAGCAATCTCGAGAGTAAAAGAAAGAAACCATAAAACAATCCTCTGAAAACGAACAACACAGTTGCATACTACAAAATATCAAAAAGCAGATTGCTTCATAGCTAAAACGGTGGGGCTTTAGATTTACTCCTCGTCATCACCGTCTGCATCACCACCACCAGAGGCTTTCTTGGAGGCAGACTTCTCGTTCCTTCTCTTCACTCTTCCTGGACGGCCACCACCGAAGGGACTGGTCAGAGCAAAGTCGATGTGCTTCTGTGAATCAAGTCTCACCATGAATGATGGAATGTTCACCAATTGCTTTCCAACCCTACAGCAACACCACCCAAACAAAGATAAGTAACCAATATTTAGAGCCAGATCAAAACATTCTTCAGGGGTTTCAACATTGAGCCACTAACGAGATACATAAGGTGTCAATACAAGAAAGGGTGAAATCATTCAAATGACAAGTGTGAGAACAAATACAGTGTTTGAAGATGTGTAACACAAAGGGTGAAATCATTCAAATGAAAATAGAAAAAATGTTAGTTTCAATTCGGATCCATCCATTTGATATCATAAAGATAAAACTCATACTCATGCACAAATGAATCACAGAGATGCACTACCTGATATGCCTCTGCCTGATGAGGACACGAGAGTGATGGATAGACTTAGCCATACCAGACTTGAACACAATAGTCTGAAGACGACGTTCAAGAAAGTTCTCAACAGTCAAAGCCAAGACGTAATCGAGCTTGTTCTGACTCTCATCAAGAAGCCCGTAACGGTTCATCCTACGGAGAAGAGCCTCACCCTCAAAGATCCTTTTTGGACTCTTCTCATCAAGAGTCAAAAGATCCCTAGCAGCATTACGGATACGGCTAAGAGAATACTGCACTCTCCAGAGCTCACGCTTGTTACGCAGACCATACTCACCAACAAGCTTCAATTCAGAGTCAAGACGCTCCTTCTCATAAGGACGACGTGGTCCCTTGAAGGTCTTTCCATCTATTCAACAACAAAAACATACATTCAAACAAAATTATCAGCAACAAGGTAGAGATCTTAAGGTATGATTCATTAGAGAAGCTAAAAATCCAGACTTTACAAAAACCCAGATTCAGAAACCATTGTTTATCATATTCTAGATGACTACATACATAGAGAAAATCAAAAACCTCAGATAATCCCTAATCTATCAGTCATTTCGAAGAGAAATCACTATGTGGATCGAATCCGAAATGGGCAATGATCTAAACGACGAAGGAGAGGAGAAGCTTACAGTTGCGGTAGTAGCAAACGTGCACCATATCTTCGTCTCCTTACTGCAAAATCGGCGATCTGAAAAACTAGGGCACGCAGAGAGGAACGAAGGAGACGAATGAGCTGATTTATAGGATTTCTTAAAACCCTAACGCTACACTCTCACTTTCTTTATTGGGCCTTTATGAATTAAGGCTTTATATGTTGGCCTTTTTTATGTTGTCGACATGTTTTTCGGGCTTGGGCTTGGGCTCAGAACTTTTATTCTTTGTCACCAAATTTACGAATTCTTTTCTCTTTTGCGAATAGTGTGGTACCTTTTTATTTTATGCACCGAATAATGTCATTTTACATATATTCTGACATTTAAATCTATATCATAAAATATAATAATTGCAAGGATTTTGAGATGTTTTACCAGTCTTGCCTTAATAGAACAGCAAGAATATTTTACAAGTTAGTGGTGTATCCAATCATATTAACCTAACGTAGTGCCTAATCTTACCAACTCTTAATCATATTCGATAATTGTATCTTACCATCTAATCTGATACACAGGAGTTAACTACATCGAAAATAGACAGAAAAAACAAAACTCATGTCACATTATTTCAACAAGTTCACCTCATTCTTTTACTTTTCTATTTTAAAAGTAAAAATAAAAACCAGGTGATATAGAAATTTATTAAACAATTGGATTAATTCACTCTGTTATTCAATTTTAGGAGGTTACTCTTTTTATCTCTCTCGCATTTGTTCGAAAGCTACATCTCAAATTACCTCTCTAACAAAAGATAAACTACTAACAAAACATAACAAGACAAAACACTTATCAAAGTGGAACAGAAAAAGATTTGACCCGTTGACTAAAATAAAAAATATTAAAAACACAAAGGAAAACCAGAAAAAAAAAAGAAAGAATTAGCCTCTAAACGACGACGCTTTTCCAACGTTTTCCGTTCTTTTCGTCACGTCGAAGAAAACGACCCATTCGTCGGAACAACACTCTCACGACTATCTCCTCCTCCACCTCCTACACCTCCGGTGTTAGCTCTTCTAGCTCCGCCGCGTCCTGAAATCTTGTTGTTGTGCATCCACACTTTGAAAACGCTTTTATCAACTCCAATCTCCCGACAAAACTCCTTAACATCCACGTCATCAGCTTTCGGCATCCTCCACCCAACTCTCTCCGAGAACTCAAACATCTTTTCCTTCTGATACTGACTAAACTTCGTCCTAAAACGTTTCCTAGACATCGGAACCGCGGTGTTAGCTCCTCCCCCTCCTCCGGAGAGTGCAAGAAGCATGTAAGAAGACGAGATCGGCGGCGGAGAAGGTGAATCATCATTGTCTGGACTACGAATCCCCACCGCATGAGGAGGAGGAGGCGGAGGAAGCTGGTGACGGTTGTGAGGACGAAATTCGATCGCCGGGACGACGGCAGAAAGAGAAGATGGATCTTCTTCACGGCGGTGGAAGTTACGGTGGCAACCGCAGGCGGCGCACGTTAGTGACGTAGGTTCGTTGGTGTTAAACAACGGAGACGGCATAAACTCGCCGCATCCATCTAAAGCGTGACCACCAATTCCCGCGGCGTGATTCTTTAGACATTCTTTATAAGTCGCAACCGCAACCGCTTCAGACGCAAGATGATGGTGGTGGCAGCGTTTGCCGTTGGAGAAAGAAATAGGCTTCGCGGGCTGGATCCGGGTCGGAGCTTCGGTTTCGGGCTGTCGTGAATCCAGGTCGGATACTATAGTAGTTGTAGTAGCCATTACATTTACATCCATGACAACTCAAAACATTTAGGGTTTCAAAAACAAATGTTTTGTAAACTTGAAATGTTTGAGATGGGTTTTGGTTATTGGAATACAAATAAGATTTAAGAAACAAAAAGTATTATGATTTTCTAGAGATGGAGGAAGAAGAAGAATAGATGAGAAGTGAAGGAAGATAAGGTAAAGATTGCACTAAACAAAACTGTTTTTTTTAATTGTAAAGTCGAATTAAATCTTTGGGAAATTTGGGGGTTATAGGTTTATGTATTTGGGACAGATATAAGATTAGAGAAGGAGAAATTTTAAAATATGTGTATTATTATTACTCAAGTCTCTCATGGAGGAAGAAAGAGATGAGAAGTTGAAGACTGTTGATAATGAGAAATCCAACTTGTGTGGTTGAGATTCATAATCATTATGGGGTTTCATTTTTTCTGCTTGAACATTTTTTTTTAACCATGGTTTGTTGACCCCACCCTAGGGTTAATAAAAAAGATAAGTGTAATAAATATAGGCTAATAAATAGAGTTCATAGAACAGCATCTAATGTGAGTCATGTCTTTTTCTTTTTGCTAAATTTGTATCTCCATGACGTTGACAACTTTAATAATATACTCAAATTTTTATCAGTATTAATTTTTTTTGGTTACCTTTCAATTACTATCGTTGTTCGCTATTTAAGCTGAAGACAAATTCCCTTGTTATAATAACTAGATTTTAACCCGCGGTACACCGCGGGGCTATATTTTCTTAAAAAAATCAAAATGTAATTTGTTTGATAGATTATTTTGATTGTTAATTTTAGGATTTCACCCGTGGTATACTATCTTTTATAAATATCAACCCAAACCCGTCCCATCATATTACCCGTCCCGTGAAATTAAACATCATTTAGTTATTTTCTTAAAAAAAATCAAAATGTAATTTGTTTGATAGATTATTTTGATTGTTAATTTTAGGATTTCACCCGTGGTATACTATCTTTTATAAATATCAACCCAAACCCGTCCCATCATATTACCCGTCCCGTGAAATTAAACATCATTTAGTTATTTTTCTTTTTAATAATACTTTTATTTAAAAGCTATATAATTCAAGTCAATTTAAAAATTTCTTTTAAATGGTTCCCATAAGGTATATATTAAATTTGTATAGAGTTGAAATAATATTAATATTACAAACTTTTTATATAATTTAAATATTATAAATATTTTTAAAAATATGCAATATATATTTTTTGTTATTGAATAAGAGGATATTATGTGTAAGAAATGTAGAAAATAAGAGTTTAATATTTTTATTATAGAGTCGCAAGAAAAATCTTTTATTTCTATACATGTTATTCGTTTATTAATAATAAAAGAAAACAAATCCTTTAAATTAGATATTAACTAAAATAACCGCACCATAATTACTTATTAAGTAACAACCAATAAATTTCACCAAAAAATAGGTAACAACCAATAAATTCTAAACGCAGTAATTAAAGAATGAGATATTAAAAAAAAATATCAAATAAGATATAAGAATCTTAAAATAATTGAATATCTAAATAATTTAATTGTTAGTGTCGATTTTAATGCCTTCATTAATGTGGATTTTTTTTTTTACAGAAAAATATTTCCTAAAGATTATCACATTAATGATTCAGAAAATTAAGGAAAATATGAATTTATGATTCTCGAAATCGTGTTGGTAATATCTTTAATTAATATTTTTCAAATTTAAATAATTAATGCCAATGGCATTCATCCGTAAATACATTCCAACTCCAGGATTTATTTGCTAAAAGTCATCCAAAAATGTATATATAGAAGTTTATAATAAGTTAAAATCTCGACCTTCCCTAGTTATAATAAGTTTATAGCAACATGATTTGTCTTCAATCTTATGTCGAAAAAACTATCCAAATAGCAAATTACAACCTTAAAAGCTACTCTACTAACACTACAAAAGAAATATGACTTGCTTAATTTATGTACTTCTCAACTACTCCATTAATTAACTCAAAAATGTTTATTGGTTATTCATGTTGACGGTTAAAGTGGCCTTAAGAAAAGGAGACCACAACGAAAAGAAAAAAAAGCTGACACGAGCAGTGGTGAAGAACGATGCCGTTTACTCCAAACTTCTTTAATGCTGTCTAAAAGTCCTCTTTCATCAGAGAAGCCTAGGACAATCCTAAGTTCGTATTGCGGATCAATTACTAGTAAATGAATAAGTACTAATAATTCTTAACAAAAACTCTGATAAAGAATTGATAGTAGCGTAATCGTAAACTTTGACTAATGAAGTTGTCTAAACACCAAACAGCTAACACGCGTCCATATCATGCAACATGGCGCTGCCTAATCGAACCATGTTCGTTTGTTAGCGAAGACTCTTCTTTTCAAATACTTTGAACTTTATACTTAATTAATGTCGGTATTTTACGACTTGCACGACTTACCATAACCAAAATAGGGAACCACCGTATCAACAGTTCAAGCATTTGGATATAACTTGATCGTTGATTGGTCTTAATTATTACCTCACTACGACTATATGTAGATTTCGTAGACCACAAATAATATACATATCTATATTATTGTTTTAAAAATAGTTATAAGGCTCCTTACTCTTTAGTTAGGAAGAACAAGGCAAACCGACATTAAATACGCTTTATGCACATAACAAGGATAATATTAATTAGTATTCCCTCTGTTCCTAAAATATTGATTTTCTAGAAATTTTACATTTTGTAAGAAACAATCATTGTTTAATTATTTATTTTTGTTAAATATTTTTTAATAAATTATGAACCAATAGTAATTTGAAACAGTTAATCATTACGTCTTGAATCTATGATTTATTAAAATTAATTAATTAAAAATAAAATAAAAATCTAGAAAATCAATCTTTATGGAACAAACTCAAAGCACTACAACATCAAACTTTAAGGAACAGAGGGAGTAGTACTTTTTTCAGGATATATTTACTGACGCAATTATCTGATCTATCTGTGATTTTTTTTTAACTATAATCACGATATGATTATATGTTATGCCTGTATATGTTTTATATACACATAACTCATAACACACATACCTTACTATATGTATCTGTGCAAATGCAATTGAAGGATGTATCATATACGACGAATGTATCGTATGGGTGGTTAGTATGCATTAATTTGGACTATTCTTAAGATTTGTGAAAAAATGACATATTCTTCTCTCTTTTTTTGTGACAAACGAAATGATTTTAGTTTAATTGTATTGTTTTGGAATATTATATTGAATGTGTAAAAGACAAGAAAAAATTATTCAAAAACTAAAAATTGATGTGCGTGGCAACTTGAGAAGAATTTGAGGTAACTGTTTTAATGACTAAAACAAGTTGGCTCTTGAATTCACATTATGCCAAAAACAAAGCTGATTTGAACCCGATCTGATTCAATTAACGTATCTAGCCGCGTTAACGGGCCAAAGCCTGAGGCTTAAAACGTTGGCCTATTATTCGATGGGTTTATAACGGGCCGAGAAAACAGATGGAATCATTATCAATTGGTGATTCATTCAACAACAACAACAACAACAACAAAATTGAGTGAGGATTGTAATTTGTTTGTCATCAAAACGATAAGATTATCATTAACTACGATAATGTTGTCTTAGACAAGTTGTCTGTTTTGCGTATGAGAGAATTTCAGAATTGATTTAACATCTATTTCCGAAAAAAAAAAAACTTGATTTGTTGAATCCAAACAAGCCCATCATCAAAATCCAGACAGAGATTAGGGAAACAAAACAGCAGATGTTGTTGAACTGAGTGTTGCTGTTCTAAGATACCATCATCTTATACTCGAGAGATCATATGAAAAGAAACGAAGACACGTTTAGATGGTTGAATCAATGTGTTTTCACGACTACGAAGCTGTCTTCAACTTAGTCGATTTTGCAGCTGCAGCTTTTCTGTAGATAGGGTGAAGAACATGACCACCTGTTGGATCAACATGAATCCATTTGCGTCCTGTTATCTTGCTTTTCTCGAACCTGACGCGTCCTTCCTTCAAGGCAAACAGAGTATGGTCCTTACCGATCCCGACATAGTCTCCAGGATGAAACCGAGTTCCGCGTTGACGAACTATGATGTTTCCAGGTATCACACTCTGAGAAATCACACACACAAAAAAACATTATTTTTCTCCACACAGACGGACCAAGATTGATTTGATTATCCAAATCTTATCTACCTCGTTGTTATTTTCTTACCTCTCCTCCGAATTTCTTAACACCGAGAAACTTGGGATTAGAGTCACGACCGTTCTTTGTAGAACCAGCGGTTTTCTTAGTAGCCCAACGCTTCAAAACCAAACTCAACCCACTTGAAGAACCATCTTTAACATCCCAAAACAGAAACAACAACACCACAAAGGAGTTAATCCCAAAAGATTATCAAACACACAGACCGAGATTCCGAAAAACCGCTAAAGCAGCCTTAAGAAAACAGATTAATAGGGTATATACCGGAAATGCTACTGCCACTATAAGCAGGAACCTCAGTGATCAGTTCCCTCAAACTAACTCTTCTGCAAATGGATGCTGCTGAGTTTAAGAAATTCATTTTTCAGGAATCTGCAAGAAACAAAAAGCACCTCAAACATCAATACATTGCAAAACCATTTCATCAAATAATTTCTTAAGCAAATGGAGTTATTTTCTTCCACATTCGAAACTACACCAATGTCACAAACATATAACCTATTGACCTCAAAACCTATCACATTTCAGATTCGATTACACTAAATTTCGTCAACGTTCGAATTTCATAATTAAAATCCGACCGAAACCCTAATTTTCTGAATTCGCGATCAAATCCGAGATTTTCCGACCAGGATGGAATCGAAACTCTCGACGGATATGCTAATAAAGGAAGAAACTTACCGGAAATTTTCAATTCCGGTAGATAGCGAACGATGACAAGCGTGACCGGAGATGACGACGGCGACGGAAGCGCGATTAGGATGGAAAGGGCCCTAACTCAAAAACCCTATTTGTCATAGTGTCAACTATACACGCCAAGAGGGTTCTGATGTTTCCATTTGTTTACATAATGACCCCTACATTTTCATTTGTGTCAAAAATGAAAAATAATTACGAATTTGCATAGTATTTTGTGATTTTACACTTGCATAAGTTCGATTTGTTTGGTTTTCCAAAAATTTTGACACAACGAAAAAAAACATAAGGGATCCGTTGAAATTTTGGTTTTTGGAAAAGAAACCAAATCTAGCCAAAGTATCAAAAATATCTCAAATGTTTTGTATATAACTTAGGTTTGTGTATGTGTGAACAAGTTGACATCATGAATGATGGATGGTCACTATCTTTGATTTCTTGTAGCATTAATAAGAAAATGTTATATTTTTCTTAATCTAGATTAATAATTTTATATGCATGTGTTTGAAGAACAACTTGACATGATCTATAAGTTTTTTTTTTTTTTTCGTCAATCTATAAGTTTTTTTTGTTAGACAGTAATAATCAATATCCATGTGATCCATCACATGCTTTGAAATCTTTTTATTGTATTTCAATGGTCCTACGGTCCGTGCTTTGCCGTGCCGTACCCCGACCCTACTAGTTTCTTATATTAACCCCTTGTAATAAATTTTGTGTCACACCAATTATTTTATTAATCAAACTTCAAGATTCCTATAAATTAGTACTATAGTTCAAAAAGATTAGGGGAATCAGTAGCTACAAATGTCTTCTACATTAGTAGTTATGTCTAGCCTGGTTTAGCACATTCAAACCTAAATTAACTTAAAACGAGACATAATCCTCCGCTCGATTTTTATTGTTTATATAAAAACGAATCTAAACAATCTGAAGATAATTAAAACCGAAACTAGATTATACACTAATACTCTTACATACTATTTATGCCTGGGCACGAATCGAATATCCGAAATTTTTGTGATATTTGATATTCGACTTGTTTCAACCAAATACTTGATTTTGTGATTTGCTTCGATTCGGAAATTTCCGGATATCCGGAAATTCGAATATCCGGATTTTTTTATGATATTTGCGGATATCCGCTTCGGTAAATCTAAATATTAAAAAAAACCGTAGACTATATAAAATAACAAAATATCATATATTCAAAGTTCTTGTTTGACATGTTTTCAAAATAAGTTCCAAAAAAACAAACGTAACCATTGTTGATATCACCGATCAAGAACATGCCATCAAACTAATTCCAAAAACCAAAACCCGATAGTTTAAAATTCCACTAATCAAAACATAATTCTGTGTAAATCTAGGAAGAAAATGCTAAAATTTGAGAAACTGAATCGTGCACAGTCCATTTCTTATTATTTATTTAATATTTAAGGGATGCTGATTTTTCATTTTTTAAATAAATCCCAAACACAAATCCATAAGCTCACAAAAAAAAATCACAAGCCCAAAAGATAAAAAAAAAAAAAAACACAAGCCCAAAAAATTAAAAAAACACATGCCCAAAATATACAAATACACAAACTATACTATGATATGTATATATATATATATATATATATACTAATATATATAGAAAAATACAGATCGAATCGGATATCCAACTTTAAAAAAAACAGTATTTGGTATTTGCTTCGGTTTTAACGAATATTATATTTTTCTATTTGATTTGCTCCAAAATTTTACGGATATTCGGATTTTTCGAATCAAATCAAATCGAATACCGAATCGAAGCGGATCAAACGAATATTTTGCCCATGCCTAATACTATCTTCACCTTGAAGTTAAGCTTACTCATTATCATTTCTTACAAGTTCTCTTATCTTTTATACATTTGTAATTTTGTGTATATCCTATATACATTACCATAAAATAACACATTTTCTCATTTACTTTTCTTTTTTCTTTTGGCTACATCTCATTAAATATATTTTGGGTAAAAATGACTTTGTTCGTTATTAGAAAAGATAACATTTCTTATTAAAACCGAAAAAATATCCCAATGTTCCCTCCTTTTCTCCGAGCAGATCGACTCCAAAACAATAATTGGATGAGCATGTGGAACTGGCTAAAACTGCACATGCCTTCTCTTTCTTCTTTTTCAAACTTTTTTTTAGTTTTTTTGTACAACTTTATATGATCTGATATTCAAGTTGCGATGTGTGAATGCGCATTTATGCATGTGTGCGCATATATATAAGTTTAGTTTGTTGCTAATGTGTGTTTCAAGTTGCTTATTCTTTCATTAATCGTGATTTTTCTTTCATTCCCCAACTTGATATGTCTAGTGGTACTGGATCGTTTACCTGTGTTTTAAGGTTCCATCCTAGATCATAATTCTCTAAAACAGTACTCATTTTTTAGCTACTATTTCATTTTGCTACGAGTTCGTTCATCTATAGAATTGATTCTTGATTCACAAAAAAACAAATTTGATGATTGAAATCTGCAAAGCAATCAAATTAAAAACGCTGATTATACCAGTGGATCTAGATCTGGTTCTTCTCTGGAAAAAACATCAGAAGACTTAGACTAATGAATTATATTGACTACCTAAAGAAATTATCTTGACTATATTCTGAAATTTTATTATTAAGAATCATGATCCGTCAACAAGTAATGGTATTAATTAATTAATAGTAGTGTAGTATAGTAAGATTGTGATTACAATTTACAGTTGGGACCGTTTGGTCAGATCTAACTCCCATCTCCTTCTTCAATGCACCGTCCTTTTTTTAATCTTATTAAACTACAATGTCACATATCTTTTATAAACTCTGATAATGTATTTGTGGTTAAAAAAAAAAAAAAAGACTCTACGATATAATATCCCACCAAGCAAGCACCCAATTTAAAGCCACAAAATCAACCCTTTTTCAATTTTCTTCTATAAAATCATAGCTAGATGCAAATACAGATTTTGTTTGGTTTTCTTCAATAAAATAAAATGTAGATATATATATATATATATATATATATATAATTACAGAAAAAAAAAACCATTTACGAAAACGCTTCAGTATGAGTAAACGTACTAAGCTACTTAAAACAATGTTCTTTCGATTGGTCTGTTTAACTTTAACACATCTACGTAATATAATGATGTTGGAAAAAATATACTAAGCTACTAATCAGTAAGATTGTAAACTTATAAGCTATATATATCAAACAAAACATACAATGTAGAATATTTAAAGTTCTTATAAGCAGAAATTGAGTTATTAAAAAAGTTCATAATATTTTATGTAATTACTACTATAAGCTTTCTTAAACCATGTGAAAACCATCCCACCACACTTTACCAATAGCAGCAAGTAATAAAGTGAGGACTAACATTGGAGGCATACGTGGTAGAATATAATTGGAGGGATACGGTAATAACAATATGTGTTGCCACAGGGAATAATTGATACGAGCAACCAACTATGTGTATATATAGCTTATATGCAACATCCTAGGGTCCTCAACCAAAACTCCTCTCTCAGCACACTTCTTTTCATACCTCAAACAAAAAAAGATACCAAAACTAGTTTGAGGAGATTGAGAGGAGTGTTTGGTTCTTTGGATAACAATATCCTAAACAGAAAATGGCTAAGTCATGTGGAGCTATCTTCCTCCTGGCCCTCATTGTCCTCTTCATGCTTCAAACCATTGTAACATCTCTATTTATTTTTCTTCTTTCAATGTTTGAAAATATTGAATATATTTGATTTTTTTTTACTTCTTAACGAAAGATATGAGATAAATGTAGGTTCTCTAACTTCTATTACTGTAATTTTGTTTGAATATGTATTTGATTTATCTTTTTAATGAAATTAATTGTACTTGTTTCTCCTCTTTTTTTTTTGTTTGGTTTTTTTAGGTTATGGCCTCAAGTGGATCTAATGTGAATTGGAGCCAGGTAAGTTTTATTGTTGAAATCGACTAATAAATACCTTTTAAACTATATTTTATACGAAAGGTATTTACTTTTTTTTTGGTTAATTTTCAGAAACGTTATGGAACAGGAAGCCTGAAACGTTACCGTAAGTGTTTTCTTCACAACTATTCTAAAACAAAACTATTTTAAATTTACATTCGATGAAAAAAAAAAAAAAACAAATCGATGGATTAACTGAAGAAAGTTTACGTAACTAATTGAGTAAATAAATCTTTTATTATTTTTTATTTTCTGTTGCCAACCTTTTATTTTGTTATAAACAAAAAAAAATTAAGCATTTCAGTTGCATAAATTAAGTTGAAAGTGAAGTGTTAAGTGGACTGTTTGGTCAGATCCATAGACTCAAAATATTTTAGATATTGACGAAATTGCCCCTTAATATGGTCATAGAGTCAAAGCAACCCACTGTCTTGAGACCCACAAAAACAGTAAAAAATGTCATGACTTTCCACTAGATTTAGTTGTTTTTATAAGTGAAAAAACAAAAACTTTTGACTAGTATTTTGAACTTGTTTGTATATGAAATGACCAGAATGCCCATCGGAATGCGATAGGAGGTGTAAAAAGACACAGTACCACAAGGCTTGCATTACGTTCTGCAACAAATGCTGCAGAAAGTGTCTCTGTGTGCCTCCGGGTTACTATGGGAACAAACAAGTTTGCTCTTGCTACAACAACTGGAAAACTCAAGAGGGTGGACCAAAATGCCCTTGAAATAATCTCACTTATCGTTCCTCTTTTTTTTTAATAAAAATGTCAACTATAACTAAATCTCCTTTGATGAATGTTTTTCCTTAATGTTTTAATCTACTTTATTCGGAATGTTGTAATGTTATGTCACTCCTTTTGTTCTAAATCCTAAAAAAATGAGAGTGGCCTATGAATGATTTTTTCATGAATACTTGGTGTTTCTAAAGATATTTTCCCGGTTCGAAAATAGTAATACTATAAAGGTTTTTTTTTTTTTTTAACATCTTACTTTACTTTATTAAAATTGAAATAGAGATACATAGTTATTTCTTAGACATACACATATAATCAAGAAATGATTAACGTTTAAGAAGAAAATACAATCGAACAAGTGAATTAAACGCCGCTTTCTTTCATAAGCCTTACACGCTAATAGATTATCAAATCTATTATCTTCCTTATTCGTCTTCTTCCTTAATCCGACATGATCATCTTGTTTGGCTATCGTCTTTTTGACGAAACTCCAATAAACTTTAAAACGATCATTGGTTGCGATCCATCTGTTACATCGCTTCCCATTAAAACATCTCCAACAATAAGAGATGACATCTTTCTTGGTTATAGCTTGTGCCCATAATTGTTGAAATGGTGAGTACCATCTTCTGAATCTCGTTCCATGTAGACATCCCCAAAGGCCCGCGTCGAAATTAACGATTGTTGAGCGTTCATATTCCTTGATCAATAATGATATCCAAGGCAAAAATTTGCCGAGGTATACTCGTAACATCAAAGACAACATGATCTCTCTCCACCATATCCTTAGACACTGCCTCGAACTGTTGCTATGAACCGGTGTATGCATGAAACACCTCTCTAATTCGCCTTCACTGTCAATCCCAATAAAGTATTGGGAATGTCGGTCATCATGGAGAGTTGATAAACTCTTCACAGAGATCACATGCTTCATTGATTTCCATGGTGGTTTCCATGGCGGTTGTTTCCACAATAATGCAGTCAAAATTTCATCATGAAACTGGACCGATAAATCACAGCCGTTTGAAAATGAATCAAACGGAGAGTAGCCGCCGGAGACCGTCGGAAGAAAACCATCGATAATTGTGATCATCCACACATAATCAATCGGAAGAACATTCAAGTCTCCTTTAGGGAAATTGAGAGAAATCATCGCCTGATCCGTTGAAAGAGAGGCGTCGCCAAAGACATCGCGGGCAAAGGAAAACGAACCATTACCAGCGGATGAAAAAGTTTCAAATTGAAAGAGAGAGCAACTGAAAAGCCAAATTATTGTTCCGCTCACCAATCCCCAAACTGAATCACCATCAGCAATTACAAGCGAAAATTCGCCAGATTTTGATGAGCCATTGAGAATCAGAAAATGAGTAAGAACCATAACCGTCGCGACGAGAAGACATACTTGAGATAAAGAACGGTTACGGTGGATTGAGACAAGGAACAAAGAGAGAAGAGTAAAAGAAACTCCAAAAATTATCATCATCACTGAATTCACAGGCAAAATATTTGAAGCAATTGAATCTCCCTCGGACTCATCGAAAGCAAGACAAATCGCTTTTTCAGTCGCCAGAGAGAGAATCCGTTTTTTCAATATAGTAATACTATAAAGGTTAAGGCAAACTAAATAATGCAATTTAAAAAATTCCTGCAAAAGGTATGCATACGTAGAAAAGAGTGATGTTGGGTCTCTCGGCCCAATATTAAAAAGCCCATTATTTTTCCAAGCTTTGGACAAAATCACGTGTTCTAGACTTCTAGTCTACGCGATTGCTTTTTGCCGCAATCTTCTTTCATGTGACAAGACTTGGGCTTTGGGTAGAAGGAAATAAATTACGAAAATGATATTTTACAATCGGTGCATTGATATGAAGTATGAACCACAAACTTATAAACGTTTTTCCATCCGACGTATCAATAAATACTCTTAATATTGCCTTATATATTGATAATAATCGACAAGAAATGTGAGGTTTGGAGTACAACTATAGTTATAAGCATTGACAACAAACCCAATTTGGCTTTCTTTGTTAGAAATCTCACATGCATTTTGAATGGTGATCTTGAAGAAGATATGTACATGCTATTTTTTAAAAGCACAACATGGGGAATTGACATGCAATGAGTAATCTTCTTTTCTAAAGAACTCATTTTGTAACCTTGAAAAGTTTTTGGTTCCGAATGAAATCGTGTGGAACAAATGTGGAAAAACCGCGGTGCAGTTTCTGTAGTAACGAATATATATATATATATACACACAGAGATATATGTGGACATTTTCATAATCGTTGGAACTACTCAGCACCGTGTAGAACATGCTTTAAAACTAGCGTCAAGAGATATTGATTTACGTCAGATCAAGGCATTCAAACTTATCTACTCTTAGGTCTGGCGATTCACTTGTCAACTATTTTTCACAAACGACAACAAAAATATGTGACGACGATTCAAGTGCTCCAGTCTCGTCCAACAGATTATTGACATGATATACTACTTCTTTGGAGTTTGCAATCTCTCTCTATCTGAGTTAAATGCCCGGCCCTATCATTATTTTTACAACTCTACATTAAAATCTATAACCACACAATCGCAATTTATGATAGATTTAGTATAACTGTATTGATGGTTATAATTTTTTTCTATATACAAAATTGCACTTAAATTTCGATTTGTTTCTAAAAACCACATCTACGAATATTTAATTGGTCAATAATCATGATATAGAATTCCACTGCCACGCTAATGTCGTGTATATCATTGTGCATAATTGCATAAACATCGGCCCTAGTAATTATATTAACACTATATATATTGCGTTTTGAGGTTTTCTCTTTTCTATACTTCCAACTTCTCTCTATCTATCTCCTTCGTCTCTCGATCTCTCCGTCTCTCTCTTTGTCTCTTCGACATCGAAAGAGCAGGGTCAAAGACTAAACAATTATGAGCGAGGAGAAAGATTACATGTCGGAGCCATTTATCGTTAAGAAGATTGATGATGAAGAAGCATCGCTTGATGATTATAATTCACAGGGCAATTCTTCTTTCTCCAAGACTTGTTTCCATGGCATTAACGCTTTATCAGGTTTAATTTCCTCTTCTTCTTCTTTTTTTTTTCTTTCTTTCATTTTTCGTGATTGATTTTTTCTTTCACCACTTCCTTCTTCTTATCTCCAAACTCTTAGCTTGTCCACATATATGTATTAGATATATTTTCATAATAATCTAGAAAAAACTACATTTAGTTTTATTGTACTTAATTTCTAGATGCATGTTTTTAACTCAAGCTTTTGACTTTATCTTGTATCTAGATTGGTGTGTATTTCAATCCTATATTTTTTTCTTTACCTCCTAGTTAATTTTGCCTCAGTTTTATTGGTTATTTATTTTTTCTGTTTATAATTAATCAGAACCAAGTTAAAAGTTAAAACCAGTTCTACTTAAACTCGAATTGGTTTCTTCGTCTCGATTCAGTTTCATAGTCTTTGATAAACCATAGAGCTAAATAACCAAATCATTTTAACTGAATTTTAACACTATAGTATAAACAATTCGGCAAAGTTTCCGATGACTGTTGTTATTATTTACTCGCTAAATGTGGTAATGGCCTAATAGTGGGTTTATCAAACTGGCCACTATCGTTGTACTTAATTGTTTATATACCAAACTAGATACTTAGTTTATACTAAAAAAACTAGTTATATATTGGAAACACGTCTGACCAAAAATGACCATATTATTATATAAAAATGACCATATATATACGAACAAAAAAGGTCCATATAATTAAATAGAAAGAAACCAACAATTCCAATTATCTTTCAGATATAGATACAACGTGGCTCTGAACACACCTTAACACATTAACAACACGTCTTCCCTTTTCAATTTGTGTTCTTCTTCTTCTACTACAAGACTACAAACTACTTTAGTCGAATCAAATCATATCTTGATAACGATCTAGCTAGACCACGATTATTCTTTGCGTTTGTGTTTCCAATTAAAAATAGCGTTTGTGTTTTCATATATATTTAAAAGAACGTTTGTAAATAATTAACACAAAAAAGACCGTTAGTATATATGCGTTTTAAACAAACATTCTTGTAATCAACTTCTTATTTAATTCTTAGGTGTGGGTATATTATCGGTTCCTTATGCTTTAGCATCCGGAGGATGGCTAAGTTTGATCATACTTTTCACCCTAGCTATCACAACTTTCTACTCTGCCATTCTCATTAAGAGATGTATGGAAATGGATCCACTTCTTAGATCTTACCCGGACATTGGCTACAAAGCCTTTGGAAACACAGGACGTGTCGTCGTCTCCATCTTCATGAACCTCGAGCTTTACCTAGTCGCCACTAGTTTCTTGATCTTAGAAGGTGACAACCTTAACAACCTCTTCTCAAACGTTGGAGTCAACTTCATGGGGCTTGAATTCCAAGGCAAGCAAATGTTCATCGTCCTTGTAGCTCTCATTATTCTTCCCTCGGTTTGGTTAGACAATATGAGGATTCTTTCTTATGTTTCCGCGAGTGGTGTCTTTGCTTCCGGGTTGATTCTTGCTTCTATCTTTTCGGTTGGAGCTTTTGAAGGAGTAGGGTTCAAGAACAATGACTCAGAGGTCTTTCGTCTTAATGGAGTTGCTACTTCCGTGAGCTTATACGCGTTTTGTTATTGCGCTCATCCGGTTTTCCCAACTCTAGACACTTCTATGAAGAACAAACGCCAATTCTCAAACGTAAGTTTTTTACATAACTGTTCATTAGGTTATTCAGGACCAAAACTCAAACTTTGCATGTTCTTTTTTTAACATTTTCAGGTTATGATTATATGTTTCACAATATGCACATTCATATATGCATCAGTGGCGATATTGGGGTACTTAATGTATGGATCATATGTTGAATCACAGATCACACTGAATCTTCCTACTGATAAGCTTAGTTCAAAAGTGGCGATATGGACTACATTGGTCAACCCAATAGCTAAGTTTGCTCTCATGGTTACACCAATTATTGACGCAATGAGAAGCCGGTTTTCTCGATTTTTGCCTAATAAAAGAGCTTCCGGGTTTTTACTTAGTACGATGTTGGTTACTAGCAATGTGATTGTGGCATTGCTTCTTCCATTTTTCGGTGATCTTATGAGTCTTGTCGGAGCATTCTTGAGCGCTTCCGCATCGGTTATATTGCCATGTTTGTGTTACTTAAAGATTTCCGGGAAATATCAAAGACTCGGATTCGAAACACTGGTGCTCATCGGAATCATTCTAACCGGTATCGTGGTTGTGATAACGGGAACTTACCAAGCGATCAAGGACATTTTTGGCCGATTTTGAAATCCCAATAGGTGAAGTCTTGCTTATAGAATATTTGTTTAGGAATATATTTGTACCATCAATACCATAATATTTTTTATTTAATTTAATTTGTTGTGACTTTATTTAATTCAAAGTTAGGAAATCTGAAATGATATATGTTTCAAGAAATAAGCTTTTTGGAGTTATGTAATAATTCGGAATGAGAAAAATGTAAATATATACGTTAAAATTAAGACATGATCTGATCTAGGTGTTGGTATTAAACACTAATCAAGTCTTTGATTCGAACTCTATCATCGGTATTTAATGGTTGATCAGTATACTCAGACAGAATTGCTCGGAACTCGTCTCCCGTTAAGGTTTCTTTCTCCAACAAAACATCAACAAGCTTGTCTATGGCTTCTCTGTTATTTCTCACGTGCTTCTTTGCAATCTCGTAAGCGTCACCGATTATTTTCTTCACGCAAGCATCAATTTCTTCCGCGAGTTTTTCGGACATGGAGTTCCTCGCTAACATACGTAGAACTACGTCGTTTTGCTTAACCGCTGGGTCGGTTAATGCCCACGGACCAATCTCGGACATACCAAACATCGTCACCATCTGAACCAAGAGAAGAATTAAAAAAATCCACGGGTTATATCCGGTTAATTAAAATTTGGTTTTAATTACTGTACCTGTCTTGCTATCTCAGTGACTTGCTGGAGATCGCCGGCGGCGCCAGTGGTTATCTCCGGTTCTCCAAAAATTACATCTTCAGCGGCTCTGCCTCCGAGTCCGCCGACGATTCTAGCGAACAATTGCTGTTTAGACACCAAAGTCGGATCTTCTCCCGGCAAAAACCACGTGAGACCACGTGCTTGACCTCTAGGAACCAACGTAACTTTCTGAACCGGATCGTGACCCTCCGTCAAAGTCCTAACCGAAACATAACCGGCTCATTTCAATTTAAACTGAACCGGATAAAAGATATTGAAATTGAACCGGGACTTACGCACAAATTGCGTGTCCTACTTCATGATACGCTACAATCGCTTTGCTTTTACCGTCGACCATCTTCGTCCCTTCCATTCCGGCGACAATTCGATCGATAGAGTCGTCAATCTCTGTAAGGGTAATCTTGTCTTTTCCTCTTCTTCCGGCTAGAATCGCAGCTTCGTTCATAAGATTCGCCAAGTCAGCTCCACTGAAACCTGGAGTTCTCATGGCAATCACGCTCAAAGACACATCTTTGTCGAGTTTCTTGCTTTTGCTGTGAACTTTTAATATCTCCTCTCTTCCTCTTATATCCGGTAAACCAACGGAAACCTGTTTAAGAGTTAAAAACAAAATTTAAATTATACCAAACCGGGCAAGTTTAATCACTAGTTGGTTCGATTTGTGTTCGGTTTATAGGTTAACCAACATACCTGCCTATCGAATCTTCCTGGTCGGAGCAAAGCAGAGTCGAGAATCTCCGGCCGGTTCGTTGCAGCGATTACAATCACTCCAGTATTCCCCGTAAACCCGTCCATTTCGGTTAAAATCTGGTTTAGCGTCTGCTCACGTTCGTCGTTTCCTCCTCCTATACCGGTTCCCCTCATTCTCCCAACAGCATCAATCTCATCAATGAACACTATACAAGGTGAATTAGCCTTTGCCCTGTTGAACAAGTCTCTAACCCTAGATGCTCCTACACCAACAAACATCTCTATGAACTCCGAGCCGGACAAAGAGAAAAACGGAACACCGGCTTCTCCGGCTATAGCCTTGGCCAAGAGAGTTTTTCCAGTTCCCGGCGGTCCAGTCAACAAGACGCCTTTTGGGATTTTAGCCCCCAAAGCTGAGAATTTCTCTGGGGTTTTCAAGAATTCAACGATCTCTTCGAAGTCTTGCTTGGCTTCGTCTACTCCTGCTACATCGTCGAACGTTATCCCTGTGTTAGGCTCCATCTGAAACTTAGCTTTGCTTCTGTTACAAGAAAACATAGTTGTAAAACATCAATCTTGGGTTGATATTCAAAATTGATCATGAATGCTTTTACCTTCCAAGACCAAAAGGCAAGTTGGGTCCACCAGGGGTTTTTCTTGAAGAAGATGTTAAAAGCAGAGAGCCAAGTAAGATTAAAGGAAACCCTAAATTCCCCAAGAAGTTGAGCAAGAAAGCTCCCCAATTCACATCCATGGGATGAGCAGCGAAATCGACGTTCTTCTCCTTCATCTCCCTCACCAGATCAACCGGTAAACCGGGAAGGTTAACCCTAACCCTCTGGATCTTTCCTAATGCTGGAATAGAGATCTCTGCGATCGCAACGGTTCCGTTCTCGATCAAGTCAACTTTCTTCACTTCATTCTCTTTCAGATGCTGCAGGAATCTCGAGTACGACATTCTATTGGAAGTGGCTTCGATGGGAGCTTCTGGTTCAGCTTTTGCGGGGTGAGCAAGAACAGTTCCTAGAGATGACGTAAATCCCAAGGCAGTCAAACTCAGTAAATTTCTCTTAGTGAGTTTGTGGTGTAAAGTTTGGGTTTTAAGACTAGGTTTATGTGTGTGACTGGATTTGGATAAAGGAGCCGGTTTTTGAAATTCTTGGGACTTCTTATTACAGGTTGGGATGTTGGAGAGAGGGAGAGACAAAGCTGATGATGATGATGCCATTTTCATCAAAGCCAAGGTATTAGTTCTTCTTCGAGATTATGCGTCAAAGGCTATTAATTTCTTAGAATAAGATTTGGTGTTGTAGTGTTTTATTCGGTGGGTGTGTTCAAGATTGTTATATAAACAAAAAAAAGGTGATGATGACTCATGACTAAAACAAAGAGGAGGTTTCTAGTTTCTTTTGTCTTTCTCTGGAATATATAACTGTCTTCTTGAATGATCCAGAGATTGTACTGTGGAACAAAAAATCTATAACATAAACACATGTACTGTATATAGATAAATTGGATGTGAGATTGACATAATCATAGACCTTGAACAAATCTCAACCTTTGATTTTTTCCACTCCTTTCAGATTACTTTTTCAACTAAAATTTAACCATACACTTGGAAGCATAAAAGGCAAATAGAGTTTCATAATAATCTCTGTGGCCCCATTGCTCCTTAGACTCGAGCCTGGTCCTTGGAAAAAACTGTCTACGGGGGTTACTATGTAACCGGTCCTCACTAGACATAACAATTCAATAAATTTTTGTTTTTAACAGTTCAGTATCTTATTTTTTTTTGATCAAACTCAAATAGTTCAGTATCATGACTTCTTTATTAGTTGTGAATTTAATATACATGATGACACAAACATTGGACAATATTTCAAAACCATCAAGTAAAGATCCCAAAAGTTTCTAACATTTATGATAAAACTCCCAACCAGATCATAAACCAGAAACACATAAACGCCAGAATCCAGAGCATATACAAGGGTTTGGATCACTACCATAAGACCATGAGAGCCAGAAAACAGAATCAAGAAACCAAAGAACACATTTAAGAATTTTTTTTTAAAAAATAATTTATTCTTCACTGTTAACCATTTTCTCTTGTAATATCCTTGTAAAGCTTTTATTTAAACACATGGAGATTTAACATAGTATTAGTTTCTGTAAGAAGTTCTTGTGAAAATAACTAAACCAAAAAGAAAAAAAGGTTGTTTATAAGCTAATCAAAGTAATCATCATCATCATCATAACCTGTAATGATTCCATCTTTACCTCAAAAAGATTAAACCTTTTCTCATCACTTCTTGACCTTCCTTTGTTGCAGTTGCTGCTTCTTAGGTCCAGGAACCTCTAATCTCCCAACAGAACACCCACATTTCGCCCGAAACACCAGCACGGCTCTCCCATTCGGTGGAGCCATCTTCTTCAACTCCGCCTCTAACTCACGGTGATGGTCACGAGGCAACTCAAACAAACCCTTCTTGCTAACACTCTTGCCACTATTAGAGCTCTTAACACAATCCTCAGTCTCTAACTGAATATCAAACTCAGCATTAGCTTTCCTAAGCCCTTTGCAATTCGGTTTCCCACATCGATGACGACTACACAAGAGTATAACAATCATCCAAGCCGATAACGCAGTACACGAGATACTCAAAGCTATCAAACCGTACACAATTGGATCAGGGTTACGCAAAATCTCTTCTTTGACTAAACAAGAGAGCTCTGAGAAGATTTCAACAGATTTGACAGTGATGAATTTGATGTAAGGGAAGATCAAGAACCCGGAAGATGTGATCACAGCGATTAAGATCAAAACATCTATTGCAGCTGATCTAGATCCGTCGCAGCAGACTTGGAAATGTGAAGAACAGCTTGACGACGATGATGATGACTTTCTGTTGCTGCTGCTTCTTGATTGCTTTGAATGATGATGAAAATCTGCTGATTGAGCCATGACTGGAGATTGGTCTACGACGGAGATTGAGTTCTGGAAATATACCATCTCAGAGAAAGTCGAATCCTTTTTTTTGAGGAAACAGATCTTTAATCAGACTCCAATTGAAGTAGCCCTAGAATCAATCATTCACCCATATCGATCAAACAAACACTAAAAAGATCAAAACTTTATAAATCAGATCGACTTTAAGAGGAATTTGGAATGAACCTGTTTGGATTGAGAACAACTGGGTTCAATCTGATCGAAATCAATTGAACCCGAAACGGGAAATGAAAATTTCGAAATCAGATCAATCCATCAAATGAAAAATCTTCAAACTTGTCAACTTCCCAATTCAAATCTAATCGAAGCTGAATCGAGAGATGTGGAGAAGTCGGAAACGTAAGCGAGGGTTGAAACAAGATGAACAAGGAAGAAATCTGGAGTTTGGGGAATTGTATATGTAAAAGGAAAAATTAGATCGTGTTCGTCAACATGATGATGATGATTTGATTATGAAGCTGTTTTTTTTTTTATCTTTTACGGTCCAAATTCGATGATCTCGTGTCGTGTAAGAAGGAAGAGAGGAAGTCACACGCGTTTAGATTATGTTATGAGCCGATCGAGTTTTTAATGGTTCGTGCATAGGTGTATGTATGTATCTCCATGACTCTACTAAAGTACATTTTAAAAAATAAATTATTTACGTTAATATTTTTAGATACTTTGTTGTATCTCCATGACTCACTAGACTTCTCTTTCTCTAGGCTTCATCTAATTATTATTTTATTTTAGTTTTGGCTCTTTTCTGACAAAGTATTATTATTACTAGTAAAAAGCCACAAGAAAAAGCCCAAACTTCTGAATAAAGCCCAAGTCCAATTTTTGCATCTAGTATTTAGCTAACTAACACCTAGAGTCCTAGTTCTGTGAGGAGCGGACCAAACCAAGTTTAACGTAGTCGGGAAAGAAAAATATTCACAGTTTTTGTTCGTTTGCACTGATCATCCGTTCGGAGCCGGTCCTAATTACTGGACTACAAGAGCACAGCATCATTTTTGGCAGCTCAAACTAGAAAAGTAAAAAAATGTCAAAATGAGGTTTGAGTCATAGACCATTTGGGTCACATATAGTGATGTTATTATGGGTTTACCCACCCCATTTAACTTCAAACCCATATAAACCCATTTATATTTGAACCCCATTTAACCCTGCCCATTTAATAATTCTTGGTCAACCAATAGAATTGCTGCCGTGTTTGAGATATTAGCCCCAAAAGTTTGATACATTCTTAAGATTTGCAAGTCTTTAAGTTTCTTTTGTTTGGACTTAAAGTTGACCTCCGTTTTCATTTGCTTATCTTGGCGAGGCACTGATTTTCATAAAAACTCACACAATCACATGCGTTTAACATTATTTAGGCTTAACTTCATATTACTAACATAAATTATTGATTCATTTGTCTTGTTATGTGTTAAAATGTAAATGGACGGCTATAATAGTAAGATGGCAACATGATATTCTATTAAAGTAAGTCAAACCTTGTCCCCAATTAAAAATTAACACGGTAATCCACAGTTTTTCTGAATTTAAAAAAGTTCCCTAAAAATGTATACACTTTTTTTTTTTTTTTTAATAAAGTGGTTTTCCAGTCTAACCCCAAAAATATACTCCCTCTGTTCCATTTTGTTTGTAGTTTTAGACTTTTTTTTTTTTGTTCCAATTTGTTTGTTTTTCTCAAATACCTATGCAAAATTTTACTTATTCCAACAATTTATATTTTCTCAGTAATTAATTTAAATCTGAAAATAATTAATAAATTTTGGTGAAAGAGTCCAAAAGTCCAAGTATAACAATCGAGACTATTTTAGTGAGTATTTATCTTCTCTTTTTTGTTGTTTTTAAGTAAAAACAAGTTTTTTTAATTATCTAATTAATGATTTTTAACCAAAATTAAGTTTCTTTAATAAGCGTGCTTTTAGTTAAAACTACAAACAATATGGGACAGAGGGAGTATCGATTTTCATAATCCAAAGTCCCTACTTGCCAAGCTCGTCGACCGTGGACGATAGCCTAATTATAAATGGAGAAAGTCTTGCTTTTTTAGAAAATCTGGTAGATTCATGAAATTATATCTGCTGAAATCTTTGAGGTTTTTGACTATTCTTTCCCGCTGAAATCTTTGACAATTATATTTACCAAAAAAAAGTGATACTCTTTGCCTCTTTCGTAGTGGCAGACATGAGAAGCTCGACTCCAGTTCATACATCACGTGGACTCATTGGAGTTACACGTGCGAGTTTGCTTCTCAATAATCAACTGGCAATTTAAACCACAATTAAGTTTGATTACTAGTTCTTAATAGGAGTATAACTCAATTATACTCCCTATAGATGAAATGAATTGAGTATTCTAGTCAATTAATTACCATATTTCTTCATTGGATCTGAAGCTGAAGCAGTTTCCAGGAAAAGTGGAAAGCCTTGAAACTAAAGGTTCCCTTTTCTCTTTATTAAAGTTTTACTACTATAATAGAAAATGGATTAATAACTAACAAAATCTATTAATTAAAATAATAATATAAAGGTTAATATAAATAAAATCAGAACTTTCAAAGAGACAACAATGGGCCAATCTTGTTTCTTCAAAGTTCTTCTTGTTTCCTCTCTGATACTACTAATCTTCTTCTCCACCGGTAATAGCTAATTGCCAACATCTTCTACTTAATAACACTGTTCAAAATATTTTTAAGAGTTTATGTTTTAAGCCTTATGTTTACAGAGATTTTCAATTTAATTATGCCTAATGATTTTTGTTTGTGAATTTTTAAGCCATGGGGAGAAACTTGAAAACTGCAAAGTTGTCAGGAGTTTACAATACTGCTGAGCTATTTCCTTCCAGGGAGGTACTTGTTTGTTCTCTATTTCCCCTTAATTAGTTTCTTCTAATCACATAATGATACAAAAAGAAAAACACTTTTTAGGAACTTATATTGAAGTTTTTTTTTTTTAAATTTGAACTTATGAGATATATTCATGGAAAATACTCCGTACGATTTAATTTCTGGGTGTATTTTTTTGTCATTTCATTTACAACGTAAACAAGATGTGCAACAAAACAATTTTTCGTTGCAAAAATACCACAAGATGTTTGGAAATTTTAATTAGAAATAAATTTTTTTAAAAAAAAGTCAAAAGAGACTTTAAGTTTTGAACTGCATATTTTGTGGTCGATAAATTGTTGAAAGGAGAATTAACACAATTCATTATCTAGCTCATTTCAAGGTTAATGAGATTGCAATATTAAATTTGAAATGGAAAAAATACAGGAAGACATTGTGAGGAAGACGATAGAGCTGATGGATTACTCGCCGCCGAAGTCTAACACCAATTGGAGTGGTTTCGTCGCCTCTCCTCCTCCCCAGTCTCCTCCACTTTCATAACTTCAGAAAAATATAATTTGATTTAAAGTTTTTTTTCGAAAACAAAATGGTTTGGCGACTGATAATATTGCAATAATACCAATATGTAAAAGTTAAGCTCTACTATCTCTCTTTGCCCAAAAAAAAAAAAAAAAAAAAGCTCTACTATCTCAATTGTGGAACTAGTTCAAATTGTAACGATATTTGTTTGATATCATTGGTGGACAATGACTTTTGTTATTGAAAATCTTTTTTATTTTTTGCGCTTGGGAAAAAATCTGGCACTATTTTAAAGTAAAGAAATGTATTTCCATATTTTTGTTTGTTTGTCATCTATATATACATTTTTGGATCACAATTAGCAAATAAATCCTGAAGTTGAGAAGTATTTACAATGGCATGCCATTAGCATTAATTATTTAGATTTGTTTTAGTTAAGTAAAATTTTTTAAATGAAATTCATTTCTAATATATTTAGCAAAAGTCTCTACAAAATCTTTCCTTATCTATTTAAGTAAAGATTTTGAAATCAAATATGTTCTCAACAATTTATCAAAAATCTCTACACAATCTTTTTAAGAACTTACTTAAGTTCTGATTTTTATCTGCAAAAAAAAAAATTAATTGTAACGAGTGATGTAAAAATCGGGAATGTTGATACTACAATTTCTTCTACTTTTTTTTTTTCATATAATGAAAATTATTTTTTAGGGATATTTTCTCAAAACCTCTAAATAAAACAAAAGGTTTCAAAAGATAGCTTCTCTTTTGGCGGGTTGACCCGCAAACCCGCAATTCTCTACGGGCTTATCCGCATGAACCTGCGACCCGTAGTGGATAAAAATATTATTCAAAAAAAATTAACAAATGATGTTTAATTTTACGGGACGGGGTTATATGGTGCAACGGGTTTGGATCAATATTAATATTAAACAATATACTATGGATGAAATCCTAGAATTAAAAATCAAAATTTAATTATAAAATCAGAAACACTAAACAAAATAAACAATATTAACAAAACAAATACAACTTAAAATTTTGCTAAATAATTTTTTAGTTATAAAAAATTCGATCCGCGGTGTACCGCAGGGTAAAATCTAGTATAACATATTCCTCCACAAAATAAACACCAAATGCCAATAACCACGCCCGCTGAATAGAAACATTAAACTGAAAGCCCATACAAAATGAGAATCTATTGGTAGACACAAATGTAGAAGATAGTAAAAATGTAAAATCTACATAGTAAAAAAAAAATAGATTTGAGTTTTAATATTGTTTCTATATCCAAACCGAACAAAATTCCTAAGAAAAACAAAGATATTTGTTTAAATAATTCAATTTATATAAAAGTAGAAAATGGATATAATTAAACGAAAAGCACAACAACACAGATAACATAAATGTTTCTGTTAATATATGATTTAGATGTTACAATGAGTATCTTCAAACAAAGTATGTGCGTTTTTAACATATTTATAAGGGCTCCAATTGGTAACCAATTTTGAGAAAAAGAATGAGTAGGAATGTCATGTTCTTTTTGTTCCTCATTTTTTTTTACCATTTATAAGGAATTTTTGTTTCATTTTCAGACATATGGGTCCTACGTTTTTCCTCTTCATTCCTAAAAAAAAAAGAATGATAGAACAAAATTGTTCCTCCCCAAAATTGTAGAGGAACAATAAAGAACAAAAATTTAAATTTCGTTTTTAATATTTAAATAATTTTAAAATAGCTTTTTTATAATATTTACATTTCTATACATAAATAATTCCTATATTTTTATTATATATTTATGTATAAATAAACTTTTATCAAAACTTTAATTTAAATGAATGTTATAACTTTGCTTTAAATTAGTATTTATACTAAAATAAATAAATAAATGCTTTTAAGTGAAATTTATATTATTTTAAAACAAAATATTTGACTATATTTCGTTTTAAATTTATATAAAACATTAATTTTAAATAAAATATATAATTTTTAATGATTATTATGTTAAATATTTGTTCAATTTTTGGTTACCATTTACCATAATCATTTGTTCAATTCTTATGTTCTTTTTGGTTCCTAGTTTTAATCATTTTCCTTTCCTTTTTGTTCTTTTTCATTTCTTTTTTTTTCTTGTTCCTATTGTTCTTTTTTTTTTTGTCACCAATCGGAGCCAAAAAATAACGATTAATTTAAAGTGATTTCATTCTAAACCAAATAACCAAAAAGAAATTTTGAAAATCAAACCATATTTTAATTTACGTATATGTTAAAAAATCCTCTATATTTAATTTATAGCCAATCACCATCATAATTTAATTCCTTTTTGTTTCTGGTTTTGATCATTTTCCTTTCCTTTTTGTTCCTTTTCATTTCTTTTTTTTCTTGTTCCTATTGTTCTTTTTTTTTTTGTCACCAATCGAAGCCAAGAAATAACGATTAATTTAAGGGTGAATTAGGTGAATAACCTATTTTGATAAGTTATTTAAGCATATAGCACTATATTGTTAGAAATAAAGCAAGTAACACAATGGAGGATAAAATATCTATTTTGGCCTTTATCTATGTTTGTCGAAGAGAGGAAGAAGAGTTACATGACATATGTGAGAAATTCTCTGTTTTTAATTTTTTAGTTTTTATTTATTTATTTTATTTTACCCCTTAGAAATTTTATTTCATATTTTATGCTCTAAATATTTAATTTAAATTTCTAATTCTTTGAAAATAAAAATAGTTTTTTTCATGTATCATGATTTAAATTAAAAAAAAACAGACATAAACTTATGAATTTTTTTTTTTAAATAAAAACATTTATTTACATAAAACTTATATAAAATAGTATAGAACAAACTAAAATAGTATAGAACGTGGCTGCGATGATGATATCGGCAGTAAATAGTATCGGCGTGGTGGTTTTAGTGGTGAAGACGTGATGACAGTGGTGGTTACGACGGTGGCTTTAATCACGTTGTGATGGTGGTGATGGCACGGTTGTGACGGCGCGGTAGTGACTACGGGTGGTAATGTGGTGATGGTGAATGTGTGGTAGTGGTGATGGTGGTTATCGTGATGACGATTATTGCGATAACCGTGGTGGTGACAACATGGTGGTGGTGATGACATGGGGATGATGGTAGTGGTTGTAATGGTGATGGTGAGGGCATGATGATGGTGGTTGTGTTGGTCGTAGCAGTTACGGCGGTGGTGGTGTTGATGATGTGATGGTGGTGGTGATGATGATAATGATGTACTAATGATAGATAATGATTACAATTGATATGACAAAAGAAAAATAAATTGATGATCTAGAGAGAAAGAAAGAAAAATACAAAAATACATAGAAAAGATGTGACATATGAACAAAGGATAAATTAGTATATATTACATGTTATACATAGAATATTATAGTCAACTTTTTTTTAGGTTAGTTACTGAATTATTAAATTTTTTATGATCATACAGTCTAATTTCTCTTAATTTAAAGTGATTTCATTCTAAACCAAATAACCAAAATTTTTTTTTGAAAATCGAACCATATTTTAATTTATCGTATATGTTAAAAAAATCCTCTATACGCATGCCTTTCTTCGTTCATGGTTCGATATTCTGGTGTCCTAGGCGTAGAGGAACAACACCAATCCATCCCTTTAATTTATAGCCAATCACCATCATAAATTCATAATATAATTGTAAAATTGAGAAAAACAACCGATTAAACTCGGCGCAAACCCTAGAAACACTGATTTACCCCAAATCCGAAGAAACGATTTCGTCTGGAGATACCAAGGTTCGTACTTTTTCTTCCCCAAATCCAAACGTCTCTGAGATTGTAAAATCGGAATCTCTAATCGTGTCCTATATTTGTTGTTCTCATCTGTAGCTACTCGATAGTTGCATAGCTTGTTCGTTTGATAGACTAGACTTCCCAGAGTTCTGATTTGATATGTTTCTCGGATCTTCTGAGAAAAAATTTGATTGATTTATGATTAGATTTAGATTTATGCTTAGTTAGATCATTGTGAAGTTGCTACATTTTTAGCTTTGAATTGGTTTAAAGTACTCAGATTGCTAATAGATTTGAAGTTCTGATTATTTAATGAATTTACAGATTTTGATTGGAAGGTAGAGATTTTACAATGTCACCGGATCATAGAGATAGCCATAGAAAGAGGTCTCGTCCTCAGTCTGACTACGATGATAACGGTGGAAGCAAACGAAGATATCGTGGTGATGATAGAGATTCACTTGTAATCGATCGTGATGATACTGTTTTCCGATATCTGTGTCCGGTTAAAAAGATTGGGAGTGTTATTGGTAGAGGAGGTGAGATTGTCAAGCAATTGAGGATGGACACTAGATCGAAAATTAGAATAGGGGAGGCAATTCCGGGATGTGATGAACGTGTGATTACGATCTACAGCCCTAGTGATGAGACCAATGCCTTTGGAGATGGAGAGAAAGTTCTTTCTCCTGCGCAGGATGCTTTGTTCAGGATTCATGATCGAGTAGTTGCTGATGATGCGCAAAGTGAAGATAGCTCTGAAGGAGAGCAGCAAGTTACTGCTAAGCTGCTTGTGCCTTCGGATCAGATTGGATGTATTCTTGGGAGGGGTGGCCAAATTGTTCAGAACATTCGGAGTGAAACTGGTGCTCAAATTCGTATCATCAAGGATAGAAACATGCCTCTATGTGCCTTGAATTCAGATGAGCTCATTCAGGTATCTGGGAAGGAATCTATGTTGCTTTGTGTTCTGTGTTTTACTTTTATTGCATCTTCTTATGTGTAACCTGTCTATTGGCGAATTCCTTATGACATCATTTATCTTTTTTCAACATTTTTATGGTTCACCTAGCCTTTTATTTTCATCTCTCTTTCTTTCTAGATATCTGGAGAAGTGCTCATTGTTAAGAAGGCTCTGCATCAGATTGCCTCTCGCCTTCATGAAAATCCCTCACGTAGTCAGAATCTACTTTCTTCTGCAATTTCCGGCGGATATCCTTCTGGCTCACTCATGAGCCATGCGGGTGGTCCTCGACTTGTAGGAATAGCACCACTGATGGGTTCCTATGGACGTGATGGAGGAGATTGGTCACGCCCTTTATACCAACCTCCAAGAAATGACCCACCGGCAACAGAGTTCTTTATTCGGCTAGTTTCCCCAGTTGAAAACATTGCAAGTGTTATAGGGAAAGGAGGTGCTCTAATCAATCAGCTTCGACAGGAAACCAGAGCAACCATTAAAGTTGATAGCTCTAGAACTGAAGGAAACGATTGTTTGATAACCATATCAGCAAGAGAGGTTTGACTTTCTTTCAATGGTCTTCTGTCTTTTAGTTAAGAATAGTTTTTCCAGCTTTTCTTCCTTGATAGTGTCTAATCTGTTTTAGGTTTTTGAGGATGCGTATTCCCCAACCATTGAAGCAGTTATGCGGCTGCAACCTAAATGCAGTGAAAAGGTGGAAAGAGATTCTGGACTTGTTTCATTCACCACTCGTCTTCTTGTGCCAAGTTCTAGGATTGGTTGTATCCTTGGTAAAGGAGGAGCCATCATAACTGAGATGAGAAGAATGACCAAAGCTAACATCCGCATACTCGGGAAGGAAAATCTTCCAAAAGTTGCATCTGACGATGATGAGATGGTTCAGGTAAAATTCATAGTGCTACCCCTCTAATTGTGATTGCAGTTTCTCCTCTCACGCTTAAAGTCCTTCACATGGAGCGTTAACAGCAATAGCAATTTTGGTGCTCAGATTTCTGGAGAACTTGACGTTGCCAAGGAAGCTCTCATACAAATTACATCAAGATTAAGAGCCAATGTTTTTGACCGAGAAGGTGCTGTTTCTGCACTTATGCCGGTGTTGCCTTATGTTCCTGTTGCACCAGATTCTGGTGATAGATTGGACTATGATAGTAGAGATAGCAGAAGACTTGAACGTGGGAATCCTTATCCTGGTGGTTATGGCTCAAGTGGCTTGTCTGCTGAAGGTTACTCGTCATATGGTGCGCCGGTATGTCTTCTAGAAGGTTCCTTTACGTGTTATTTTTATTGTATCAATTCTCAGTTAATGACTCCTCGGACATGTTTTTGTAGGTTGGTGGTAGTAGTAGTACTCCATATGGAGTTTATGGAGGTTATGCATCTGGACGCAGTAGCAGTTCTGGGTGAGATTATTTCTTACTGATGTATTTGTGACATTATACAAATTACTTACCTGTCAGACTTCGGTTATCAAGTGTTTCAAATGTCGACGTACTGCACAGACTTTTGCTTTTCATTTACCTAACAACTCCTGGTGGTTGATCTGATCCTTATCATGGGTTTTGTCATCAGGTTATCAAGCCATTCTTCTACCTACCGACGCAGAAACTATGATTACTAGAAGCTATTGGTTGGTGATTAAAAAGGTTAGATTATAATATTTGTTTGTTTAAGTCCTTTTAAACTTAGTATACCTACCTATATGCCCCAAGTTCATGAGATAATCTGATCTGATCTGTCCGGGTGTCAGATTCTGATTCACTGCTTTTTTCCCTTTGTGACCTTTTCCCCGTCCCACTAAATCAGTGTGAGATCCTGAAGCCTGAAGCCAACCCCACAGCCCACAGTTGAAGCCTTTTTCACCAAACAAGATGACAAAGCTGAACCACCAAACTCTACCTAGGAGAACCGATTACATGTGGATGAGATATTTAAGTTTCTTTCAAAACTTTCCATGTCCGCTTGTAACCAAAAATACTGCCGAGTTCCTACCCATTAAACCTTATCCAGTTGGCCTTGGCTGTAATGCTGTCTATCTTTCACTTTACCTTTGTCTTTCCTTGGATTAGATTCAGAAAACCTTAGTTTGGTTGTGTAGTTCCGTTTTGTATGAATTATGTAATTTTAAACGCTCTCATGTACTGGTTTTGCTTACAGCATGCTTAAGCCTCTCTCTGACAGGTTTTGGTATCACAAACTATTACCTTGTAATCTCTCAGAGTTTTAAAAGATCTTATGCAGGGAGAGGGATGAGTGAGAATCTATTGCTTCTTGTCGACATTGCTCAGGTGGCATATCAATCTGTTGTGCCCATTTGGTCCACATGAAAGGTATATACAATTATTCTTCTCTCTTTGTTGTTTCTTTGCACATATACTTCTCTGCCAGCAGTTAAAAGACAGGTTGCTATTACTGGAAGATTGTCGTTTTTGGAAACCAATCTTTTGACCATTAGATTGTCGATAGCTCCATCTCGCCATAAGTTTGCACGGTGAACACTCGGAAAGATGGTTCGTTTTTGAGTCTATGACTGAGCCGCCCCGGTTTTTGCTGCCTATATCAAAGAAACCTCTTGATTTCTGCAATGTTAAATTGGTAGCAGAAAATTATTTTATTTCAACTTTCAAGTAGTTTAGAACTCAGAAATAATGAAATATTTTTTTTGTTAAATGGTGTGGATCAAATAATATTTGTAAAGTTATTTGTCTTTCGACATTTTAATTCAAAGCTTATATCATTTGGCCTGTTTTACGAGTAAGTCCAGTTGCTAAAACGGTGACGTTTTTTTAATTTCGTTTTCGTTCGTCGTCACCTTCTTCTCGGTGAGAGTTCGAATGCAGTAGCAGATGAATAAGAAAGAAGGCAAATAGAGTTCCATTAAACTCTGCAATCGCATGCTTAATCTTCTCTCCATCAGTAGCTCTTCTCGGCTTCGTTTTCTTAACAAGGTTTCTTCTCTCTCATGTCGTTACTCTTTCGCGTTTTCCTCAGTGCCTTCGTCCTCTTCTTCCTTGGGAAATGATTCAGCGATCCCAAGAAATTATGAATCTTCCTCGTTTAATTTACTTTCGAGGTCGAATGAAAAGCTTGACCTTACTGGTTCCTCTCTAAAAGACTTGCTTTTGGATTTGTCCGATGTAATTCCCAATATTATCCGTAGATTTAGGAGATTTCCTGGCTTGAAACCCGAAAATGTGGTTGAATTGCTACTGGGTTTTGAATCTGAGCTTCAGAGAGGTAGAATTGGGAGTACAAAGGTTCAAGCTTTATGGGAGATTTTCAGATGGGCTAGTGGGCAATACCAAGGGTTTAAGCATCTACCTCAGGCTTGTGAAATTATGGCATCGATGCTTATTAGGGAAGGAATGGTTAAGGAAGTTGAATTGTTGCTTATGGAGATGGAGAGACATGGAGACACAATGGTTAAGGAGGGGATTTTCTGTGATTTGATTGGTAAATATGTTGATGCTTTCGATTCCAGGAAGGCGGTTATGCTGTTTGATTGGATGACGCGTAAGGGTTTAGTACCTTTAACTTCGTGTTACCAGATTCTGATTGATCATTTGGTTAGAGTTCATAGAACAGAATCAGCATATAGAATTTGCTTGGATTGGGTGGAGACAACGGCTGAATCAAATCATATGAACATAGATAGCATCGGGAAAGTTATCGAGTTGCTTTGCCTGGACCAGAGGGTTCAGGAGGCTAGAGTCCTGGCAAGAAAGCTTGTGGCTTTAGGTTGTAACCTGAATAGCTCAATATATAGTAAGATTACTATAGGATACAGCGAGAAGCAAGATTTTGATGATTTGTTGAGTTTCATTGGTGAAGTTAAGTATGAACCTGATGTGTTTGTTGGCAATAGGATTGTGCATTCTCTCTGCAGGAGGTTTGGCTCAGAGAGAGCTTATGTATATATGGAGGAACTCGAACACTTGGGTTTTAAACCTGATGAAGTTACATTTGGTATCTTGATTGGTTGGTGTTGTTATGAAGGAGATATCAAGAGGGCGGTTCTTTATTTATCCGAGATTACGTCAAAGGGTTTCAAACCCGATGTGTGTAGTTATGATGCTATCCTAAGTGGGCTTTTTAGAAAAGGATTGTGGCAACATACCCATTGTATTCTGGATGAGATGAAGGAAAATGGAATGCTGCTCAGCTTGTCTACGTGTAAGATTATGGTAACTGGATATTGCAAAGCTAGACAGTTTGAAGAAGCGAAGATGATTGTTAATAAGATGTTTGGTTATGGGTTAATCGAAGCATCTAAAGTTGAAGATCCGCTTTCAGAAGCTTTTAGTTTGGTAGGATTTGATCCGTTAGCTGTTAGATTGAAAAGGGACAATGATTCTACATTTTCCAAAGCTGAGTTCTTCGATGATCTTGGGAATGGGCTATACTTGCACACTGATTTGGATGCTTACGAGCAGAGGGTGAATATGGTACTTGACAGGTCCGTGCTACCGGAATTCAATTCGCTTATCGTTAGAGCATGTAAGGACGGTGACTTACAAACAGCATTGCGGCTTCTTGATGAAATGACTCGATGGGGTCAAAAACTATCGCGTCGGAGTTTTGCTGTTTTAATGAGGAGTCTCTGTGCATCGCGTGCCCATCTCAGAGTAAGTGTTAGCCTCTTGGAAAAATGGCCAAAGCTGGCTAATCAGTTAGATGGAGAAACCCTTAATTTTCTTGTCCAAGAATATTGCAAGAAGGGATTTAGCCGCCATAGCAAACTCATTTTCCATAGAATGGTTCAAATGCATCATCCTATCGATAACGTAACTTACACATCTTTGATACGTTGTTTCTGTAAGAAAGAAACACTCAATGATCTTCTGAATGTGTGGGGTGTTGCCCAGAATGATAACTGGTTACCTGATTTGAATGATTGCGGAGATCTGTGGGAATGTCTTGTCCGGAAAGGACTGGTGGCGGAAGCGGTTCAACTCTTTGAGCGTGTATTCATATCTTATCCTCCATCTCAGTCAGAAGCGTGTAGGATTTTGGTCGAGAAGCTCACAGTTCTTGGGTTTTCTTGTATCGCTCATTCTGTTGTTAAAAGGCTTATAGGAGAGGGTTACATTGTGGAACAAGAGGTTTACAATCATCTTATCAAAGGACTCTGCACGGAGAAGAAGGATTCAGCTGCATTTGCTATACTCGATGAAATGCTAGACAAGAAACACATTCCAAGCTTGGGAAGTTGTTTGATGTTGATTCCTCGGCTTTGTAGAGCTAACAAAGCAGGAATGGCATTTATTTTAGCAGAGCAATCAGATTCACCTTATGTACACTATGCTTTGATAAAAGGACTATGCTTAGCTGGGAAAGTGCTCGATGCAGAAAATCAGTTACGTAGAATGTTATCAAACGGGCTTTTACCGTATAACAAAATCTACAACTTGATGTTTCAAGGTTATTGTAAAGGTAACAACTGGATAAAAGTTGAGGAAGTACTAGGACTCATGGTGAGGAAGAACGTTATCTGTTCGGTTAAGAGTTACAGAGAATATGTTCGAAAAATGTGTTTAGAGCTTCAGTTTCTCTCTGCAATTAGTCTGAAGGAGTTTCTGTTGTTAGGAGAAAGCAATCCTAGCGGCGTAATCATCTATAATATGCTGATTTTCTATATGTTTAGGGCTACGAATCACTTGGAGGTTAATAAAGTCTTGCTCGAAATGCAGGGAAGAGAATTGTTGCCTGATGAAACCACGTTTAACTTTCTCGTTCACGGATACTCTTCGTCTGGAGATTATTCAAGTTCTCTGCGATATCTCTCGGCTATGATCTCCAAGGGGATGAAACCGAATAATCGAAGCTTAAGAGCGGTTACAAGCTCTCTGTGTGATAATGGAGATGTGAAGAAAGCTCTTGACTTGTGGCAGGTAATGGAATCAAAAGGCTGGATTTTGGGTTCTTCAGTTGCCCAAACCAAAATCGTCGAATCCCTAATTTCGAAAGGCGAAATTCCAAAAGCTGAAGACTTTCTGACCCGTGTGACACGCAATGTCATGAAGGCTCCCAACTACGATAATATAATCAAGAAACTATCTGATCGCGAGAATCTTGACATTGCGGTTCATCTCTTGAACACAATGCTAAAGAACCAAAGCATTCCGGATTCTTCAAGCTATGATTCAGTCATCAGTGGCTTGCTGAGATGCAATCAATTGGATAAAGCTATGGACTTTCATACAGAAATGGTGGAGTTAGGTCTAAGTCCAAGCATAAGTACATGGACTGGTCTTGTTCATAAGTACTGTGAGGCATGTCAAGTTGAGGAATCAGAAAGACTTATCAAATCAATGGCTGGGTTAGGCGAAACACCGAGTCAAGAAATGTTTAAGACTGTGATTGATCGGTTTCGAGTAGAGAACAATACAGTGAAAGCTTCAGAGATGATGGAAATGATGCAAAAGTGTGGCTATGAAGTTGATTTTGAGACTCATTGGTCTTTGATTAGTAACCTGAGCTCTTGTAAAGAGAAGAAGACAACAACAGTTGGTGAAGGATTCTTGTCTAGGCTTCTCTCCGGGAATGGATTTGCTTGGAAGCGATGACTCGGTTTTTAAGAAGTTTGGGGCTAATTTAGAAATATAAAAACAATTGTGTTGTTTTATGTAATTTTACGATTGTGACGCACAACGTCAACGTGGAACGCCCCAAGAGAGCCAGAGTGTTTATTTGACTTTTGTTGTTGTCAAACTTTTGCGTTATTTTGACCAAATATTATCATTTTTATCTCCAAATTGGCTCGTTTGATTAAATTTCCGTCATATAAAGTGAATAAGACAAACTATAAAATCTTATAAATAGACACTTGTCGATTAAACATTAATAATAATTAAAAGATGTTTTCCAATTGTTTTTTTTTTTTTTTTTGCTATTTCTCAAACTCATGATGAGTGAAGTTTGCGTTGTGAAAGAAAACAAATATCAATGTTTTGAATAAGCAAATAAATGATCTATTTTGAAGTTACTAAACATATATATATCGTGCATGGAAATACATAAGCCAACTCAAAAGCTGAAGTCATAACTTCGAATTCAAAAAGCGTACATACTTGATATTTTTTTGAAATATTCCAATATTATCATTTGGTTTAGGTGGTCTTGCTTTAGTTTGATATAGTTTTTATTCATTAATAACCTAAGTATAGACTATGTGTTTGACACAAAAACCTATTTGAGTTCAACATCTCCAATCACTTGGGAACTTTAATTCAAATTTCCAACTATCTAGAGATTTCCTATTTAGATAAGTAATTTTAAAGGAACAAATGGGTTTGTTAATCGTCATAACTAACTCCATTATTTTAACTTTATCATTATTCATATAACTTGTAACTACTCCACATGTTCCAGCTAAAGATTTGTCCACAAATTTGGACAGAGTTTATGTTTCCAAATTTGAAAAAGTTTGGAGGTTTGGTGCATCATGCATGAATTGAAGTATAATATATGTTAAGATTCATTAAGAATATCCTTTATTCTAGGTTTATGGAATTATATTACTTAAAAAGGGGATACCTTTAGCAAGTACAATAGCGATAAGGACCCCTAATCTTAACCACACTATGTCCCAAAGCATACACTATATATACACACTCACTCATTCCTCTTAGCCCTCATCAAACTCTCACAATCTTAATTACCTAGCTAACCCTAACTTCCTTCTCAAGAAACCCCGAAAACCTTAAAGAGCAAAGAGAGAAAATGAAGTCCGGTCAGGCTGAAATCGTGGAAACGAGCAAAGGTATCCAGAAGAGCGGTCTGATGAGCAGAAGGATTGCGATTCTTGAGTTCATTCTCAGGATTGTTGCATTCTTCAACACTATAGGTAGTGCAATCCTCATGGGAACCACACATGAAACTCTGCCTTTCTTTACTCAATTCATACGGTTCCAAGCCGAATACAACGATCTTCCAGCCTTAACGTATGTCATTTTATTTGTTTAGAATATTTTTGTAGCTGTTTTTTCGGTATCAGGGTAAAATGGATTAATTAGAAGAGTTTGTGTTCCTTTGGTTTGATTGATCAATCAGGTTCTTTGTGGTTGCAAATGCTGTTGTGAGTGGCTACCTTATAATGTCTCTAACTTTGGCCTTTGTACACATCGTCAAGAGAAAGACTCAGAACACTAGAATTCTTCTTATCGTCCTTGATGTGGTAAGTCATCACTCATCAGCAATTTAAATCTTGTCCTGGTTATAGTCTGATATTACTGCTTATGATTGATTCCTCCTCATGTGTTAGGCAATGTTGGGTCTTCTAAGTGCTGGAGCGTCCTCAGCAGCAGCCATTGTCTACTTGGCACACAATGGGAACAATAAAACAAACTGGTTTGCTATTTGTCAACAGTTCAACTCCTTCTGTGAGCGTATCTCCGGTTCTTTGATTGGATCTTTCATTGCCGTTGTCCTCCTCATTCTTCTCATTCTCCTATCAGCCATTGCTCTTTCCCGACGCCACTGAAGATCTGGTCTTAGCCTGAAATATGAGTTTTCTTTTCCACTACTTTAAGAAATACATGATTTGGTGTGTAAAAATGTTAACTTGAGCTTTTAGTCGTGTGTCCTCTGCATTTGTGGTTTTTCTTTTCTCATCTCCATTGATATTTTGTGTGTGATTTATGTAACGGGTTTTTCTGTCAAAAGTTGTGTGTTTGACCATCTGTTACTACAATCTCTTATATACTCTCCTTTTCGGTGTTCTATAATCTATGCTAAATCCAGAATCATGAAATCAACATGCAGTAAGTAATACATGACAGGAAAATGCTAGGTTTATAACATTAACAGACTACCTATATGTTACATAATGATTCTGCTAAGGATCATCTCGAAGATAGAGCATAAACATTGATGTTGAAACTTCCTAATAAATTGTGGTGCTCACTACTCATAGTTCTAAGTTGAGAACTCTAAAACTCAAGAGAACAAAAAAAGAAAGAATCTATCAAATTACCATCATTGCATTGAGTTCTACAATCTTACTGTCCCTAGTTAGCCAATGAAGCGTTGGGTTTTTACCTTAACTAATTCGTTTTCTTGATTTTGACTCAGCTTCTGACGAGAGTAAATATCTCATCATCAATTTGTCATCATCTTCTTCGATCAAGCTAATTCCAGTCGGTTTTTTCACTCTTGTATCATCAAACATCTTCCTTACTTTCTGCACCCCGTCCCACTGACCTGTGGAAGCATATATGTTGGAGAGTAACACATAATCGCCACTCTCGTCCTTTCTCATACTAAGCAGTTTCTCATTTGCATATTTCCCTAACTCGACATTCCCATAAATCTTACAAGCACCTAAAAGTGTTCGCCATACAATAGCGTTAGGCTCGATCTTCATTGACTCCACAAACATGAATGCTTCCTCTAATAGCCCTGCTCGTCCCAACATGTCTACCATACAACCATAATGCTTTATGTTTGGTTCAATATTATACATATCCCTCATAAGGCTAAAATATTTACGCCCTTCATCAACTCTCCCCGAGTGGCTGCAAGCTAATATAACTCCAATGAAAGTCACCTCATTTGGCCAGACTTTCAACCTTTGCATTTCTTCAAACATTTCAACTGATCCCTCCGCATGATGCAAAGCCAAACCAACTATCAAAGTATTCCAAGTTGACAAGTCCCGATCTTTCATTCCTCTGAACACTTCAATTGCTCTATCTATGCTTCCACACTTTGCATACATGTCAATTAGAGCATTCCAAATAGGAGTGCCCACATATATGGAGCTCGAAACTGAAGCCGTTTCCAAGATGTAGATATGAAGTCTCTTCCCAGTTTCCAAATCTCCCAAAACTGCACAAGCAGATAACAAACTCAGTATCGTCACAACATCTGGGTGTTCACCAGCATCCCTCATCTCCTTAAATATACTTAGCGCCTCTTTAGGGTACCCGCAATTTACATATCCAGAGATCATTGCATTCCAAGTCACAACATCTTTCTCTGTAAATCTATCAAAGAGCTCTCTTGCTGAATCCATCTCCCTACATTTCAAACAACCAGTAATCATCACATTCCAAGCTACCTGATCTTTGTCAGGCATTTCATCGAAAAGCCTCATCGCCTCATCTATCTTCCCTCTCTTAGCATACCCAGAAGTCATAGAAGACCAAGCAACCTTATGAGCTTTCGCAGAATCATCAAAAAGCTCACTTGCAATTCCCAAATCTCCACAATTAGCATGAAAAAGGATCAAAGCATTCTTAACATACTCATTCAACAAAAACCCATGTCTCACAACTTTCCCATGAATCGCAAAACCATTACTTCTCCACTCAAGCTTCGAACACGCCTTGAGAACAAACGTAAACGTATACCTATCAGGCGACACACCTCGTTTCTCCATCTCAGTATATAAAGCAACCGTTTTTTCAGGTTTCAAGCTCTGAGCAGAGCCGCGCAACACATGGTTACAAATAGATACGTCTGGTTTAGGAATTTCTTCGAACAACTTGTGGGCATACTTAAGCGCACCCGGAACCGACAAAGAAGCTGAGTAAATTAGCTCACCAACAACAGAAAGATTAGACATGAGACCATTAACCACCATAAAAGCGTGAATTTGCATCAACGTTCGGAAATTTTTGCAGTTCTGCCATAGTTTTGAACGGCGGCGATTGGTGGTTCGGTCGTTCGTTTGTCTCCTGATCATCGCGTTTTCATCTCCATTTGGTTAATTATGGGCTTTCGGTATTCATAAGTGATTTCCGGTTTAGTAAAACCGAACCGGTACCAAAGAAATCAATTAAGGTAAGTAAACGAATATATATATTTTTGTTGATCATGAAGTCTTCATTAACAAAAACATTTCTGAACCCATGAATAGTCTCATAGATAATAAATGCGATTTAAATGTCCATTACAATAACAGAAGATAGGAAATTACAATGAAAATATAGATAAAATAAACTCCATCTAATTTGAGTAACAAAAGATGTTTAGTTTGAGATCCATGTATACTCTAACTTTGGTGTTTTTTTACCATGCGTGAAGTAAATCCCGTCTTCTCTAGCATCCCAAAAGTTTTTCTTACCATGATCAAATGCGCCAGTGCCACTTTCAAATGCCCTAATCTTTGCATAAAAAGATTCTTTCCGAAAGTTACAATCAATTTTGTTTTTGAAATCAAATTTACCATGAAAGCTAAAAACGTAAGTTTCTCCAGAGTTCAAATCAACGCTGCCTAGAGATTCTTTGTTAAAAGTACAATAAATCGAGAGATCTTTTCCTGGACTAAGAGAATTCTTGAAATGTAGAGAGTTTTTCTTTCCAAACTGTGCATTACCCAACCCAACATATAATGCCATAACAAACAAAAAGCACAAAAGACGATTCATTGTTTTGATACCATGTAGATTTTTTTTTTTTGGTTAGAGGTGATATATATGTCTCGATCTAAAGGATAAAACATACCTATTTATAGAAACTTTTTTTACAAACAAAAAGCAAGTTACTGTGTAACCCCATCATCATGTCTTTATTGTGATCCTCCGTAAACACACAAAAATGACACAGAATTAGGGATTTTATTGGTAGCATGTTACTAAAATTAAGGCCAGAATCAATATAGGCAGTCTTTGTGTGATGTGTTGTGAAAACATTTGAAGTCTTCATTTAGTTGTTTTTGTTCTTAACCAAAAAAAAAAAAAACATTTCTAAACCCACCATTAGTCACATAGATGATAAATGCAATTGCAATATTTGACTCGATAAGTTTCCATTCCAAATAACAGAAGATAGGAAATTACAGTGAAAACGAAGATGAGATAAACTCAACCTCTTTTGATGAGTAACAAAAGATTTTTAATTTGAGATCCATATACATCTATACAGAGAAGACCAATTTCATGTTTCGTATGTCACAAGTAAACAGAGAACTGGGGAGAGCAATGAGAGGTGAGTTAAATCTAGTACAGTAGCTGTTGCTCTTGTTGGTGTGGTGGGTTTCTTCTTTCTTGGTCGTCCTCAATAATTTATCTACTCTCCTTTTGAAGGTGACTTTGCGAGGAATTGATCCGTCACTAGTCATCATTTTATTAAGTTAGTCGGTCCTTTGACAAATTGACTCATGTTGTACTAAGTTTACTATTGTTACTTGTTTGCTTGATTAAATGAGATTTTCTTTGTTGGTTGTGTGTTGCCAATTATGAATTAACTCACAAGTAATGTCTATGTTTTGCCTTTTATGGTTAACACGTTTTTTTATGTTTGTTTGGCCTTTTTGTTTTCTTTGTTGACTTGTAGTTGGATGATTGATTACTTGTCATATCTTTTGGAGATTATGTTTGAATAAACCTTTTTTTTTTCATTGATTTCAGCTTTAGCAAATTTGTTATCAGATTCTTCTCCACTGAAAGAGTTGTTTAAGGTGTAATCAAAGACTTGTTTTCCACGCCTTAATTGGTATTGTTTGTCAAGTTAATGCATAAACTCTCGAAAGGTAGCAAATAGAGACTTTGCTAATCTAATGTCTTTTTCTGAAATTAAGTCAATAGTGATCCTTGTTTATATCCAAGTTTTGTATTATATATATGATAGTTTATTGATACAAAACATTTCTTATGTACGTACCAGTTGAAACAACTTCAGTAACTACCGAACCAAACTACAAATGTTAAATCTTTTCAGTCTGAACGTTGCATATTGAGCATGCTACTTCTCACATGGCATGGATTTAGGCTCGGTGTTTTTTTATTTCATAAGTGTGACTTCTTGCTTTTTGCAATGTCTAATCAAGTACACTTATGCAGGAGATTTGTAGCATCAAATGTGGGAAGTATTTTTATCGGATTCGTGGATCGATAGAATCTCGACAAGTGGCGTCATTTATGAAGGCTAAATTGAAGTATGTAAGGACCATACAGAGTGTAGGAGCTGGCAATATGGTATCAGCAAGACATTTAAAGAGGTTTGTCCCCATTGTCCTTTACATCATTTGCAGCCAATATGATTTTCTTCTTTGATCCATGAGCTCTCTTCGTCTCTCTCTTCTTCTTCAACTTTCATATTCACATTTATTCATTTTATTAAAAACTGATTTCTTTTTGTGTTTATTTGTACAATTCTTTATGATTTTGTCTTATCGTTCTCTGATTCGATGAATATACTTCTTACTTACCCCACAAGCTTGGAGCCCACCTCAATAAATCCATCTTTTGCCTTCATGGAACACATTTAGCTACTTTCCCTAGTTTGGTCTTGTAAAATCTCTTTAATGTCACCGTTTGCCTTCATAAATCATCTACCTTTCTTGGCAGGATAATCTACCTTGATGATAACATTTGTACACCTGCAAGGTACCACAACCATATAAGATCACAAGATGAGGTAAACCGGTTTCCAAACCATTGATTTAAACAATCATCAATCCAAGTAGATTTGAGTTCTGGTGACTGAGTATATATAAGCTCATTGTTCTCAGAGAATGTTTATTTTTTTTATAACCAATTTGAAGATGTAGATACTCTTAGACTTGACATCAAGAACAATGTAGCAACCAAGTGACTTTCTCTACAACTACAAAATGCTTCCTAAACAAAGTTTAAGGTTCCATGTGCCGCATAAGAGATATATATATACACGCAACTTATTCAAACCTCCTCATTTTCTTGCAAGCTAGACTATTATTGTATATGATAAAGGGTTTATCTGGTGGCTAGGGCATACTTGATATAGAGAGCATGCGTGTGAATTTTGTTGTAGTCTTAATGTTTCTAGATTCTAATCGCTTGCTTACACAGGTTTGAATATTACCATTTTGAAAAAAAAAGTGAAGAAAGAAGAAAGTCTATGCATAAACTTAATTTACTTGCATCCACTTAGTTTTCTTCTACTTATGCACTCTGTCTCATTGATTTACTATTGTAGTGTCAGTTTCCTCTTAGTCACCGCCATTTCACAGCATTTACTATCTATTCTTTTTAGTAAAGGTTGATGAGAGAAAAGAAAATGTCAAAACAGAAAAAAAAATCAATTTATACGATTATGATGATGTAGTGTAACTAAATAAAGATAACCAGTTATAGCATTAATTACACATATATAGAGAGAAAAACAATGGGGACGTTTAAAGCCTTAAACTACCAGTAATAGTAACTTGAAGCTAGCTATCAAACCAAAGGCATCTTTTCTTATTTTGAAGCATTGTATAAAAATAGATTGTTGAAAATTTTAGTGTGTTTTTTGTTCTTATAACTTTTATAGGTAAGTTTGATGCGGAAGAACGATGATACAAGATTAAAGAGCTAGAAAGCTGAACATGTATAAAATAAGTTTGAGATATTGATCTTAATATAACTTGCAAGATCATAAAAGTGATGAGGGCTATAAGCCTATTAGAATAGATAGTGACCTGAATTTACTTCTAGCACAAGAAATAACCGCTTTAATCTTGTGATATGGAAAAATAACAGTGACTAGTAATAAAAAGATCACCGCTTTTATCTCTCTGTGAGTTATTTAGGGGGGACTTGTTCCAGGTCTTTGAGCCACAAAGGTAATAACTTCTATAGACCCCATTTGTTAATAAATGCTCATCCATGTGAGTGAGCCGGGAAAAAAAGGGATTCATTTGTTGTGTGTGTCTTTCTCTCTCTTCTATATATCAACCTTCTTCACTGAGATATGCTTCACTTGTAACATTTCCACAACTGTAGCCAACTTTTGTACTCTGATAGTGATGATCATGATCATGATCATCATGACATGAATATATATATATATATAAGATATCTCTTACCTTCCATCTTCTTCTTCCTCTTCTAATAAGAACAGAGTTTTGGTTCTTCATCTTTGTTCTTTACAAAAATGGGTAGATCACCGTGCTGCGACAAATTGGGTTTGAAGAAAGGACCTTGGACACCAGAAGAGGATCAGAAACTTTTAGCTTATATTGAAGAACATGGTCATGGAAGTTGGCGTTCATTGCCTGAGAAAGCTGGTTAGTGAGATCTTTATCATCTATATTTCCACATTTTCTGTTAGCTCTATATTCAAAACTTTCTCTCATCTCTCTTGCTTATAATTCTCAGGTCTTCATCGATGCGGGAAAAGTTGCCGACTAAGATGGACTAACTACTTAAGACCTGACATCAAAAGAGGCAAATTCAACTTGCAAGAAGAGCAAACCATTATCCAACTCCATGCTCTGTTAGGAAACAGGTCTAGTCTTGCAACAAACAAAACAATCACAAATATTTTCGTAAAGTTTTCGCCTTTCTGATTCTTTTTTTTGTATATAGATGGTCGGCGATTGCTACTCACTTGCCAAAGAGAACAGACAACGAAATCAAGAACTATTGGAACACTCATTTGAAGAAACGGTTAGTGAAAATGGGGATTGATCCAGTGACTCATAAACCCAAAAACGAGACTCCTTTATCTTCTCTTGGTCTATCCAAGAACGCAGCTATACTTAGTCACACTGCTCAATGGGAAAGTGCAAGGCTTGAAGCTGAAGCAAGGCTAGCTAGAGAATCGAAGCTTCTTCATTTACAACATTACCAAACCAAAACATCATCTCATCATCATCATCATGGATTCACTCACAAGTCATTGTTACCCAATTGGACAACAAAACCAAACGAAGGTAAACCAAAAACACACACTAAATCTCTGTTGTAACTTTGGAACTTTGTTTGATTTTCTTTAAGACAATGCAGATCAACAACAACTTGAATCTCCGACATCTACAGTGTCATTCTCTGAGATGAAAGAATCAATCCCAGCGAAGATAGAGTTTGTCGGATCATCAACTGGTCTAAGTCTGATGAAAGAACCTGATCAAAACGATTGGATCAACTCAACGATGCACGAGTTTGAAACTACGCAGATGGGGGAAGGAATCGAAGAAGGGTTCACGGGTCTCTTGCTCGGTGGAGATTCAATCGACCGGAGTTTTTCCGGTGAGAAAAACGAGACGGCCGGCGAGAGTAGTGGTGGTGACTGCAACTACTATGAGGACAACAAGAACTATTTGGACAGTATTTTTAACTTCGTGGATCCTTCACCGTCGGTTTCACCACCGATGTTCTGAATCAAGGGCTGATATTTGTTGGGAATGTTTTTGATTCTTTTTTAGTTTCTAGTTTTTGTGCTTAAACTCTGATTGGACAATTTGTAGACTAATCCAATTTTTGCTTTCTTTTTTTCTTGAATTATCGTTTCACTACTACCTATATTATGCTATTTGGACGAATATATATTCCAACAAAAAGGACGTCGTAGAAAGAAAAGAAAAAGACAAACATGAAATTTATGTTTGTTTAATTTTCGTGAATTTAAAGATAGTTTATGCATGGTTCATATATATATAGATTCTAGGCCTCAAGATCAAAACTATCCCATACAAAATACTTTAGATCCCAGCTAGCGTGACTAATATTTATAGCTAAATCGTTTATCGCTATTATTTGTTTACTTAGTTTTGTGCTTAATGACAAGAAAAAAAAATAAAAAAATTCAACAAAACTTGTTTAGTCTTAGCTGGTTCTTTTTTTTTGTTTTGTTCAACTAGTCTTAGCTGTTGTATTTGTAAAGATTCAAAGTGTGAGTCATTGTTCCTTGTGAAATTGATCCTATATTTGCTACCGCAACACAGTGATTTATACGTACACTTGAGGGTAGTATAGATTGAGAAAAAACATGATCACATATCATTTAACGGACGTCGTCTCTCACCATGAATTGGCTGTGACAAAGCATTGGTCTTCGGTCTTTGACAACTTGAAGACAGATTTTTGTTCACCCTTGAGTGGCCAAATCGCTTCTTTTTACTTCATTAAGATCCAAAGTATTCAATGTTCTCTGACGAACACGATTACTACATATCATCTGTCCGACACATGCATAGTTGATATTTTTAGTACGTTACCACTTCTACAAATTAAACCAAAATCACTGCACTAACCACTAAAACTAGAAACTATATATTGCAGTCATTTTTTTTCTTCTTTTTTTTTTAACTACGCAAGAAGTATAAAAGATTGAGTTACATAATGATAATGTGGCTGTGATAAAAACAACACGTTGACATGTCGATTACTATATGATCAACTTAAATGTTGGTTGTTTCATGTCCTTTTCTGCCTTCGGCTTTGAATCCGAATCTTCATTTTTCATATTAAATGTGAAAATAATATCAGAAACACAAAAGCCGAAAAAAAGACCAAACCAATATATCATAATGAAATAATAAATATGAATCGTAGTGATAATAGGATACTATTTATTTGGATATGACCCCATGCAAAGTGGACCCAAAAGATATCCCAAAATTTCAGAAACGATATTAATCATTGAGAAAATTAAAAATCATTATCGCAATAAAATATAAATAATTGTGGATAAAAACTGTAAATTTGGATATTTCAGTATGTCATTCTTAGTACGAGAATACAAGAGGTCTTAGTTTAGGCCCATCTAAAGCCCAATAATCAGCTTATACAAAAAAGGAGCGAACAATTCAACCATCGCGAATCGCAATCGCGAATTTTGAGATTTCGGGAGCTTCGATTGATTTGGGATTTTAGGGTTTTCTTTCTCAGAAGACGACTCCGAGAGACCAACAGGTGATTTGACAATGACGCTACCTCCAGGACTTTACTCCGGCACCAGCTCTCTTGCTCTGGTAATTCATCTCTCTAACCCGATTCTCGATCTGTAGCACATATTCGTTTTTTTTTTTTTTTGTTGTAAAGGTGATTCAACGAGTCTTTTGCTTCGATGATTAGGTAGCTCGTGCTTCGGCTTTTGGCTTGGGTCTCGTCTACGGGAACATGAAGCTCAAGGTCCTTAAGGTGTGTAATTCTATCTCTATTTGAAGATCTTGTCTTCTATTTCTGATTAGATTTGTCTGCTACGAATCTGCAAAATACATAATCTCTAGTTGATTGATCTCGAAAAGGGTATTGATTTTTTTAATTTTGTTCTATCATCTGATCATTGTGACATTCGAATTGTTGTTTACATGATATTTTGAAATTGGTGGATACACAAATTTTATGATCAGAAAAATTCATGATTTTGATCATAGTTAGAGTGAGAGAGCATAGTTTTGTTTGTATTTACAGTGCTCTCAAGCTATAGATGGGAATTGCAGATTGCTGGTTTGCTTTTTTTGTTAGTTTGTTTCTGCTAGTACACGGATTATGCCTGAGTTTTGATCTTATAATCCCTATTAGATTAACATATGCTAATTCTTCAAGTCGTCATCAAATTTTTAATGACTGTTGAAATAATACCCGCTTTGTGGTGTGTCTTTCTCTGGATTTTGCTTCTGAAGTTACTAGCTTTTTTAAGTTTGTGGTCGTGAGTCTCCTCTGTTAAGAACATCTTTGAGTAGCCGAGCCAGTGTTGTGATGCCTTGAGCAAAATCTCTGGCTCATTAGTCATGTTGCGAACACTAAAAAGGTTTACTTGGTAAATCTTGTTGTTTGCTGATTCTAGTTCCTCAACTGATTCTCTCTTTGCAAAACCGGAAATGCTTAAAACTTGGATATCTCTATACATGAAATGTTCTTGAATTTTAGCATATGCTAAGTACCGACAAATTGCTTTTCACCTGCAGATCAAATCGATGTCACAGAAGACGGTTGAAGCCACCACTCATCATTAAACCACTCTTCTCTCTTTACAATAAGATGCCAAAAGCTGGGGGTGATGTCTCCCCGGTTAGTTTTTCTTCTTTTCATGATTCATCTTTTAGCATAGGAAGGAACAAATGTGTTGAAAAGTTTCTTATACGGTTTTAAGACCTTTTTGGTGCCAAACTTGCCTCTGCTTTAAAACCCGAGTTAAGAACATCTTTCTTTTGTTGTTGTCATCCAATAACACCATTCACATTTACCTCTTAACCAGATTCTTTATACCACTAAGGAACTCAGTGTCCCGGTTTTGCGTTACACTTTGTTTTGCAAGTGTCCTTATATTTCTCTCACCGTTGAGGTCTTATGTCTATCAAGTTTCAACCATTTGATTTTTTGATCACGATATCGGTCTTGAATTTGTAAAGCATAAGAATGGGTTCCCGGTTAAACTGGACTAGCCCATTCCAGAGGAATTGATCCCAATGGACAGAGTGTAAGAAAGCAAAGATTTCTCTGGTCCTGAAAAGCATGATCCAACTCCAAGTGTATCTGAGTTTATCCGGAAAAAAAAACATTGCGGCTCCGATTGGTGACAAAAAAAAAGAACAATAGGAACATGAAAAAAAAATGAAAAGGAACAAAAAGGAAAAGAAAATGATCAAAACCAGGAATCAAAAGGAACATAAGAATTGAACAAATCTACATATACATTTTTACAGTACTTTTTTGCTTTAATTCTTTTGGATCCGGGTTTGACCCGGTTTTAGTCTATTCGGATCTTGGATAAGCAATTTTAGGGATGTTGTCTTAATTTCAAACTAATAAATGAAGCCTTTATTAATTTCAAACTGAAAAAATTTATGGCAATATTAAAACGAAATTAATTCCTTTATTAATTCATATTTGTTAATTTCCTTAACTTCTCCCCACACCTAATTATTAATTTTCTTTAAGAGAATATGCGTATAACAAAACAAATAAGTTACCTATTTTAATGGTAAATAATCTTATTTGTTATATATATATATGATATCTCTAAACTAACCATATTTGTTATTTACCTTAACTACTTCTAACCATAATTATCTAACTACTTATTTTTATATAGAAAGAATATGTGATTAAAATAAATATTTTGTAAATATTAATTTGGGGACAAATTCTTACGAAAATAATTTGTTTTGTTATAAAATTTAATGTTTGTTATTTTTCTAAATTATTTTTGAAACTAAATTACATAAATACTAATAATAATTTGTCTACACCATAAAATGAAAATAGTTATTTATTTTAAATTTTTATATAATATTACGTAATTTGTTTTAGTTATATTTTCTGATATAGGTGAACAAATTATTTTCGTATTTATGAAAATTATAAAATCTAAATTAGTTTAAAATTTGAAATAACTATAATCCTAAATTTTAATCTTTATGGGTAGGTTTTTTTTTGTGACCAAAAATATTCAATTGGATCTTTCTTTAAATTTTGGCAATATCCAAAACGAAATTAATTTATAAACTCTAAAAATATCTATATTTTTAACTATTTCTATATCTAAACTCTTTATTTATGACATATATTCTTCACGATTTTTACAGAAAAATATATAAAATATGATGAGTTAATGCTAATTAACAAATTTGAGCTAATTTTTTACAATCTCTCGACCTAATTTAAACAGAATTATATAATTCTCATTTCACTTTTATTTGATGTTATATTTATATTATTTTGAATTATTATAAAATAAATGTAGTTAATAAATTGGGTATTTTTGATAGAAATAATGATAATCGGATATATGAGTATTTTTGACAGCAAAAATAAGAAACCTTACCGGACTTGTATGGTAACTTCTATGTAAATTATTCAATTTAAAATCGAATATTAAATCAACAAATACAATTCCGAAGTATATGGTAACTTCTTCGTTATTTAGGGAAAAAATTTCGCTAAAATATATATAGAATCTTCTAATTATCAGATTAACCATCAAATATTCTCTACGATCTTGAACTATGGAAAGTCATAAAGTTGGTTTACTGCAAAATTATAAAAATCGCGAAAGCGCAAATCAAATATGTTAAGATCTTTAACGATAGAAACTAAAATTAATTTCGTTTAGATATTCTGATGCGATTAACTATAGCATATCTACGCTAATTACTTATAGAATATTTTGCAGAATATGCTTTTCTTAAAACCCTAATAAAGCAACCTAATTCTAAACATTATAAATATAGGCTCTGCTATTCGGCAAATCATTTTTCATTCATCCACACAAACTTCTCTCAGCATCTATGCTTCAGTTTTTGAGCAATCTAATTTTTATTTTTCATTGTGTATTCTCTATTTTCTATTAATGATGTTATGTTTCTACGATTTTAATTTTTTTTTTTTGTTTTGATATCTCAACATCTATGCTTCAGTTTTTGAGCAATCTAATTTTTATTTTCATTGTGTATTCTCTATTTTCTATTAATGATGTAATGTTTCTACGATTTTAATTCTTTTTTTTGTTTTGATATCTGTTTAATACAAACGCGTGCGGCGTGTCTAAGTATATGTTTTCCTAAAAACATAGTATTTTCCTTACCCCTAAAACATTCATTACCAAGATTTCAAAATTCCATTTTACCGCTAAATCATAATTAATATGACAGATTTTTATTGTAAACAATTTATCATTTTTTCATACACTACACAATTTTCTCTACTAAAAATATACAATATTAAAATCAATGTCACAACATGTAAAATTAATATTTCCAGCGGTATACCGCGGGCTCTCAACCTGAAAAAGAAAAATTAATTTTATTATTTAGTAAAATTATAGGCCCGCGGTGTACCGCGGGTTAATTTCTAGTGATTATGGTAAATGGTAACCAAAAAATTGAACAAATATTTAACATAGTAATTATTAAAAATTATGTATTTTATTTAGTTTAAAATTTTATTTAAAATTAATGTTTTATTTTAATTGAAACGAAATATAGTATAAATTCAAATATTTTATTTTAAAATAATATAAATTTCACTTGAAAGCATTTATTTATTTATTTTAGTATAAATACTAATTTAAAACAAAGTCATAAGATTCATTTAAATTAAAGTTTTGATAAAAGTTTTTTTATACATAAATATATAATAAAAATATAGGAATTATTTATGTATAAAAATGTAAATATTATCAAAAAAGCTATTTTAAAATTATTTAAAAATTAAAAACGAATTTTAAATTTTTGTTCCTTGTTGTTCCTCTACAATTTTGGGGAGGAACAATTTTGTTCTATCATTCTTTTTTTTTTGAGGAATGAAGAGGAAAAATGTAGGACCCACATATCTGAAAATGGAACAAAGATTCTTATAAATGGTAAAAAAAAATGAGGAACAAAAGAATATGACATTCCTACTCATTATTTTCCTCAAAATTGGTTACCAATCGGAACCTGCAATTGTTGTTTCTGGTTTGTTGTATGATTCAGTCGAAGAAAGTCAGATTTGGTCCATATATCAGCCGTGGAGAATGAATAATCAAATATCCATCAATCATGTAGTTCAAATTTGGTTTCGGGACCTCTCTAACACATCCCACCACGGATCCAAACAATTACCATTACTTCAGTGGCGACATATTCATGTGTCATTCTTTCTATTGTTAATAGTCCTCGTATATTTTTTGTTTTTAATCATACTTTCACTAAAGGATCCTACATAAAATCTTGGTGGAAGCAAGTAAGAATTTTGTCAGAAGAAGCATTGGAAAAAGGAGAAAAACAAAAGGAAATAAGATTGTAGTGAAATAAACTGAGATAAGAGTGTCGTAGAAGACGAACCAAAAAAGTGTCTTAAAACAATTGGAGTAAAAGTTGGAATGTGTCCTACAATAAAGTTGACGATAATTGGTTATGTGAATGATTGACACAAAACCATCTGATAAACATGCATGTTTAAGCAGCAGAATCACATTCATGGTCATCTTTCTTCTCCAAACGACCAAATAGATAAAAGCATGAGACTCTGAGAGAAAACAATGGCGCTTCATCGTTCTACTGACATATACTACGTTGATGGTGGCCTCAAGATCCCTTAACCAACCCGCCGTAATGTTTTACTGGTATAATTTTCCTCTAAACCGGCCATTGATCATTTTTTCCGTTAAATTTTTTTGGGATTTGGTTCAGGGATTTTACCACAGGAGGAGAGACTCAATTAAATTAAACATGGAAACAAAGACAACTTAAGTTTAGTTCGCTTTAGGTTTGGTGTTGAAGATTTTTATGACATCAAGGCTGACGCTCATCATGCATAGGCATGGGCAAAAGCTAACCGTAACCGTATTTCGGACCGTAACCAGACCGTTTCTCAACCGTAATCGAACCGTAACCGTATAAAATGGTTAATAACCGTAACCATAAAAATAGATTAGTTACGGTTAAAAAATATACTAACCGTAACCGTTAATTTTCCGTAAACATATCAAAACCGTTAGTTAACCGTACGGTTAACCGTGCGGTTAACCGCATAGTTAACCGTGAAATTAAAACCTAAAATACATAATTATATAACTAAAACAGTACCTTAAATGGTTTAATTCGCCCACTACTAAATTTAAACCACTCCACTCGTCCACTACTCATTTTCCACAAATCAAATCATAAATAATTTACAAGTTATTATTTCTACTCTTGTAATCGTTTCTTAATTCTCATAACATCCTTTCTATAGTATTGTTTGGAATACGTATTGTCAATAAAACAATAACTCAATCATTATAATTATTACCATTGATTTAGTTATTCGTTGGTTTACTTAACAGAACCAAATAACTAATTAACTATAAATATTAAAGTATATAATCATATATATTATATATTGTAAAATAAATATTATTTGATATATCATCATTAAATTTTTATTCTAAAGATTAAAAATACCTAAGCTTTTGTCTTTGATATTAACCGTATCGTAATAATTAAATAACCGTAACCATATTTAACCATAACCGTTGTAACCGTAACCCTATTTAACCGTAACCGTTTTAACCGTATATATAACGGTTAAGGTTACGGTTAGAGAAATTTTATAACCGTAACCGGGGGTTAATAAACCGTAACCGCAATAACTGTTGTCATGCCTTCATGCTCTTATAAGTTATACCATCTAAATTAAAACCATCGTCCTTCTTATCTTATCTTTATATTTGGTAGCAATACCTAGGCATGACCAAAAGCTAACCGTAACTTTATTTCGGACCGTTTTTCAACCGTAACCAGACCGTAACC